CGAAATTGTGGACTGCTGAGTTTCAGGGTTTAGAACTCGGAACTCGGAACTTGGGAAATTTGGGGAGATCAATAAAATTTGATTTACAATCAAGTTGATTGACAAACACATTGACTTACCCATGTTTGAAATATATTTCTGTTGTCTCACATACCGAGTTCCAAGTTCCAGGACCCCTGAACCCCGAAACCCGGCAGTCCACAATTTAGGGATTTGAGGGTTGGTAAAATGTGTATGGATATATGAAAGGTTGATTTAAACATTTTTGAAAGATGTCTCATCAAATGTCAAGTCCTGAGTTTTGAATTCTGGGTTTCGGCACTCTAGGTTTCAGGACTCCAGGCTTTGGGACTCCAGGCTTCGAAACTCGGCACTCCCGAAACCTGGAAATCAAAACTCAGGACTTGACATTTGATATGCAACATCTTTCAAAAATGTTTAAATCAACCTTCCATATATCCATACACATTTTACCAACCCCTGAACCCTGAAATTGTGGACTGCTGGGTTTGGGGGTCCCAGAACTCAGGACTTGATATGTGGGACTGGACAAAGATATTTGTCAGGGTTCAGGGGTTAGTAAAATGTTTATGGATATATGTAGGCTGATTCAAACATGTCTGAAAAATGTGTTTCATTTCAAATGTCAAGTCCTGAGTTCTGGGTTTTGGGACTCGGCACCTGGCACCCAGCACTCAGGGTTCGGCACTGTGAAAATTTGACATTCGGGTGTTAGGATGTTCGGGTTTCAGGTGATATCTACCTCAATCTACAGTTTCGAGTCCTGGATATTGGAACTCAATGATTGAATCATTCAATTGTGGCATTTCATCCAGGACCACAATTTCACTGGAAAGCCCAAGACCTGAAAAATATGTATGCAACATTTCCATTTTTCACTTGTTGCACTGATCACCGAGTTTCAAGTGCCGAAACCCAAAACTCAAAACCGGGTGTGCAACATGTTCATTGTTCATTTACATTACACAGATCATTGAGTGCTGAGGGCCGAATCCTGAAACCCGAAGCCCAAAAACATGTATGCCACATGCCCATCTACTCATTGCACAAATTACCAAGTGCCGAGTGCCGAAACCCGAAACCCAGTACTTCAAATGGACATGAATTCTATATTTGTATGTATTATCCATTGGTGTAGGGTTCAAATAACTTGGGAATTGTATTTGTCAGTGCTTGGTACTTGGTACTCAGTAGTTGGTAGTTGGTGGTTGGTGGTTGGTGGTTGGTGGTTGGTAGTCAATATAGGCAAATGATAATGAAAAATGAAAGTTGTTATTACACTTAACTTTCTTACCGAAGGTTGTGGTCCGAGTCTAGGGGAGTGTATTGGTAGTCTTTTCTTGTCCATCAGTTATCATTTGACTGAGATATAAGCTAAAGAAATCTGAAACATCGGCAATAATGAAAAATGAAAGTTATTTGTAATGATATTTTCGGCCTGAATCATATATAAATGTGACTTTGTATAAAAGATGTCTATTGTCACTCTCCATACATATGTCATTTTGCCTATCATTACATCAATCCTTCATGAATCTTTCTAAGCTTTTAAGCTATTATAATGGATGTATATGGGTGTTATTCTAGGTCTCTGATCACATCACAGGCTTGTTATGTTGTATATCTCGACATAATGTGCAAGTCTCGCTATTAATATTCATTCTTTTATCTTTAGACTCACTTACTACACACATGTATTTTATTTGTCATTATTGATGTTTTGGATTTCTTTAGCTTATATCTTGGTCACATGGTAACCAATGGACGAGAAAAGACTACAAATAAACTCACCTAGACTCGGACTACAACCTTCATTAAGCTGACTACTGATTCCTGGATACCGAGTATCACAACCAAATACTGAGTACCAATTACCATGTACTGAGTACTGCGTAATGAGTAACAAGATAACCAATTGACAAGAAAAGACTACCACTACACTCACCTGGACTTGGACTACAACCTTCGGTAAGGAAGTTCAGCATAATAACAACTTTCATTTTTTCATTATTGCTGATGTTTTGCCGAATGACAAGGAAAGACTACCAAGACACTCACCTTGACATGGACTACAACTGTCATTTTTCATTATCATTTGTCTATATTGACTACCTGAGTCTCGAGTACCGACCACTGACCACCAATCACCAATCACCGAGTACCAATCACTGAGTACTGAGTACTGACAAATACAATTCCCAAGTTGATAATACATACAAATACAATTTGTGTCCATTTGAAGTACTGGGTTTCAGGTTTCGACACTCGACACTTGGTGATTTGTGCAATGAGTGAAAAATGGACATGAACTGAAGCACTCGGAACTCGATGATTTGTGTAATGTAAATGAAAAATAAACATGTTGCATGCCGGGTTTCAAGTTTCAGGTTTCAGCACTCAAAACTCGGTGATTTGTGCAGTGAGTGAAAAATGGACATGTTGTGCACATATTTTCGGGGTTCGGGGTTCGGGTTTCGGCCCTCGGCTCTTGGAACTCAATGACTTGTGTAATATAATTGAACAATGGACATGTTGCACACCTGGTTTTGAGTTTCAGGTTTTGGCACTCAAAACTCAGTGATTTGTGCAACAAGTGAAAAATGGAAATGTTGCATACATAATTTCGGGTCTCAGGGTTCAGGTCTCAGGTCTCGGCACTCAGAACTTGATGATTTGTGTAATGTAAATGAAAAATCAACATGTTGCACACTGGGTTTTGAGTTTCAGGTTTCGGCACTCAAAACTCGGTGATTTGTGCAACAAGTAAAAAATGGACATGTTGCGCACATATTTTCGGGGTTTGGGTTTTGGCCCTTGGCATTCGGAACTCGATGATTTGTGTAATGTAAATGAAAAATCAACATGTTGCACGCTGGGTTTCGAGTTTCGGGTTTCGGCACTCAAAACTCGGTGATTTGTGCAACAAGTGAAAAATGGAAATGTTGCATACATATTTTCAGGTCTCGGGTTTGAAAAATAGCATAATAACAACTTTCATGTTTTCATTATCATTTGCCTATATGCACTACCGAGTCTGATAAGGGACCCCTTGGATGATCCATTGCTCAATGAAATACTACCTGATTGGAAGTGTGCTGGTTATCAGATATTCATTTGTTGACTCCTGGGTCCCGGAACTCAGAAGTCAGTATGGTTGACCCAAATTTGGGTGATCGGAACTTGGCGTCTCATAGGGCAACACAAGCTTCACACCCCAGATTCCAAATTCTGCAAGACAACCTGTGCACCATCAAAGGCCATGTCAGGAGATCACCTGCTGCTCCGGGAACTCGGTAACTTTAATTTATTACCTCCTCTGAGTACGATTGACCCAAAGGTTGGTAATCGGAACTTGGCTTCTCATAGGGCAACACAAGCTTCGCACCCCGGATTCCAAAATTTGCAAGACAATCTATCCACCATCAAAGGCCATGTCAGGAGATCACCTGCTGCTCCGGGAACTTGGTAACTTTGATTTATTACCTCCTCTGATTTGGTTGATGTACAACTACCTCAGCTCCATCATGTCTACAATTATGATACACATAGGCCCACCCATCTATATTTTATACCACCCTTGGCCCACCCGTCTAATACAACATCCCATACAACACCCTCAGCCCACCCATCTAATACAATATTTTATAATACCCTCAACCCACCTGTCTAATTTAATATGTGTCTGGGCCCACCCGTTGTAGAGACTCATGCCTCTCATGGCATGATATGGCAGTTTCCACTAAGGGAGTATACAGCACCAACTCGCAGCACCACTCTGTGTACTGTCCACAGCAATTCCTATATGAGGCGCAGCTTTCCTGCGCAATGCGCACCATTCCCACGCTTCGCGATGTATACGCGCGCGTGCGCCCTATAGCACCAGCCATCCAGATGCATCCATCCACTGTCCACCAAGCTCCCTAGTGCATATATTTCCATTTCCTTTATTAGCATAGTGTTCCACCTTTATTTTTATCATGGACTCTCACCCATATATATCCTTACATACCTACTCGGTAGCGCTTCGGCTCCGCATGACCGCGCTTAGGCGCGCTATATAAGCGCCAGCAGTACATACTATTACGGACGACTTTTCAACTTACTTTCCCTTTAACTTACTAATTACCACCCACCATTTTACTTAGCAGAACATAGTAGAAGTCTATTTGTCTACACTTTGCATCACTCTTCTCTTATCTTGTATCATATCATCACTTAATTTTAGTCTCTCTTATTTCGCGCCTCGCGCACGCGCCTTTCCCGCGCTTCGCGCTAATACGCGCGCGCGTTCCCACGCCTTCATACCTTGCGCGCACCTGCGCTTTCTCGCGCTTCGCGTTCCCGCGCATACCTCTAGATCTTTGCTGTACTCACTTCCCCTTTAGGGTCGAACGCACTTGTCTCCTCAAGTAACGCAGACTAGGCAACGCGCGACCTTTCAACATTTATAGATACTGTCAGGAGCATCATTTGTTCCTAGCAGTAATTGTTGTTTCTACATCGGCCCACCTGTCTACCTAATATTCATGTACATCAGCCCACTCATCTACTCTATATATTCCCTGCATGGGCCCATCTGCCTCCATCGGGAATAATTTGCCTCCCGGCCCATCCGTCATAGCCGAGGATATTTTTATCATGGGCCCATGGTCCACTGGCCCATATCATACGGGATATTATGCATGTCCGTTCCCTCATATTATACGGAGATAGGTCACTGTAATATGTGCTGCTTTGAGAACTTCTTCAAAGTCTGTAGCTTCAGTCCTTGAGTAGTTAGTAGGATCCCTAAGTTCTAGTCTCCTATCAATAGCATGTCTCAAGGCAGCCAGTAGCCCTTGCCAAAAATAATGATCCCGCTCTCATGCTGATATCTTATTGTTTGCGACTAGCCAATGAGCTACAGGCCGAAACTGCTGGTAATACTGCAGAAATTTGGTCTTGGTTGAGATGTCATTGTCAATGTTGCTGATCACGATTCATTCCAAGTCACGTATCGAGTACCGAAGACCCTTTGCAGCTCCAGAGTATTGCGACAGAATACTGGTCTTAAAAATGGTAAAGTCTTTGCTTTCATACCCCGTCAGAGTTACCCAAAAATGCTTCGTCTGAATGTCAATGTAGCGAACAATTGTCTTGCATTTTTCGGCATACAAAAGTCCACAGGCCAATGCTAGATCCTCAAACAGTTCAAAAAACTCAAGAAGTTCTGAAGTTTCACCATTAAATGTTGGTGCTTTGCTTGAATTGGCTCCAGGCATAGCGTTGATGCCTTTAAGTGTGTTTGACATGGTGAGTGGAGGTTGAGATGGTACATTGAGCTGAGTAGTGTTGCAAACATTTGAAGCTGATGTATTGGAGAAAACAGGTGTGTTTGGTACAGTTGGGATAGGTGGTTGGGTTTGGATGGGAGGGAAGGAAACATTTTGATGGATGAAAATTTGAGGTGCAGCAGAGGTGATGTTCCTCGTGGGGTCTACTATAGGTGGTACTGACGGCATAGGTGGAAAGAATCTAGCAGCTGGAAGCTTGAAAGGGAGTGGAGACGGTCCATCAAGGATTGAAGGAAAGTCCGCAGATATTTCTAGAGCTTCATCCAAGGATGAGGTTGCCGATTCTTCCGAGTTTATTGGGGAGGTAGATAACTCTAAAAACAGGTTGATTTGTTGGTCTGGAGGAGTTGTAGGATCTGAAGAGGAGGGTTCAGGAACAAAGGAAGTGTCAATTGTTGCAGGGAGTTCATTTCGAGGATGTTTTGGGGAGAGCTGCACATTTTTATGATAGAATTTCGGAATGGTGGGCAATATAGATTTAGATAATTGAGTCTAGAGTGTTTATGAATCTATAGATCAAATAGGAAGATCAACAGATCAGATTTTGGGTGCAAGGAAAAGTTCAAACAGGAACCCCTTGCAGTGGGCTCCAAATCTGTAAGGCTTTATAATAGTGAGTGTGAAGGGGTTCAACGAACAATGGTGTTTGTTGGGATAGAAAGATTTAGTGTTTTTTTTATAGGCGCATTGAGAAGATAGTGCAACAGAATATACATATTTAGCGGAGACATTTCTGGGACTTGTGATGTTTGATGGTGAAAGCTCTGGATTGCACGAGGAATACATGGATATTTGTAAAGTATATATACATACAAGTGTGAAAGGGATAGCCGGGTGGCTCAAAATATGGTATGATGTGCTGAGAAACAAAGGATAATTCAATGAAAAAGAGTTTGGAAGAAGGATGAGTGCGACAAGAAGACTCGTATTCTACATGAGGTGTCGGTGTCATGTGACATAAGATAAAACACTTCTAAGTACAAGAGGAATCATAAAACATGAAGGAATGTATCCGTGTGTCTTGGATATGAAGAGTAGAGCTCTTTGCATCGTTGAGACACATGGACTGTGTTAGCATTAGTTTGAAGTTTAGTTGGGGTGCAAAGGATACAGTATCCTTACAAGTCTGAGGGATGGCAAATATGGCCTATACAAGGCTGAAAAGACCATAGGTCTTACACTGGTTTTGAACCCACACAGACAGATTTGGATTCTGTCACATCAACTGCTTGGCTAAGGCCAGCTAGATGCACTCCTAATGAATCCATTCAGAAGTATATTTTCAATATACATTTATCTGCATTTTGTCAGCTCTAACATTAATTTCATGATGAAACTGTGGAATACCAAAACCTGGCAGTGGCAAGGAATTCCAATTGAGTATGGTACAATGTCATTTGTTAACTGCATACAGTATTCACTGTCTAGAGAACTTAGGCCGATGTCTTAATATATGTACATATAGTCGTAAGAAGTCATTCATAGACCTGATATGTCATAGACAGCCAACTTTTTTGTAAAATAGAGCATTCTCAATCCTTACTGCATTCAGTGACATTGAGCAGATGCTCAGCATTGAAATTGATAGTACCGCAATGAGAATGGAGGCATGACAAATACTTTGTAGTTGTCTAGTCCAAATCAGTATTCACTACTTTTTTATATTCATACAAAAGTAGTGAATACTGATTTGGACTAGACAACTACAACCCGAGAAGGCAATACTGTCAAATGGAGATCAGCCAGAGTCAGCCTATCAAAAAGAGTGTCATCATGAACTGTCAGAATTGTCTAGATTCAGTGGAATCATATATGCTGGTATGTTGAGTTCTATTCATTTTGCACATTTTCAATCAAGTGTTCTATGAGGGAAGTACACCACCATCCTATGTTGATCTTCATTGCTACAAGTCACAACTTTGTTACAAAGTCACACACTATTCTACATTTGTTGACGAGTAATAAAGGAGACAAACATGTCTTGAATATCTGCTGACAGACAGTATCTCAAACATTGATCTTCATCAGCCTTAGTCAAGTTGTCACCAGGGTCAAAATCTGTTTCTCCCTTGTTGGAGCATGTTTAGTGAGGCATATGTGCCTCTGTTTCTGATTTTTGTAACTTAGCTTTCTATATTGCACTACCACTGTATGGTTTGTCATTATGAGCCATAGATATTAGCTATTAGAATATAATAATCAAGAAGTTGACAGAAGAACTAAGAAGAAAAGTCAGACTGAACATCTGTATAGTTTCCTACCCCCAAAGTGCCCCATGTCACATATGATTCCATTATCCAATCCAACCTTACTGATATGTTTCTGTTACTTTATTTTTATATCAGACCATATTATGCTTTAGACTTTAATGATTTGATCATTTGTGTGTCATGAACCCTTATTACATATTTTACCTACTCTCTTTGCAAACACTTTGGCTCCAGTTCATATTTTGAAATATAAGCTTCCTACACCACACTATCAGTGTATATGGTCTCTGGTCAACCCCCTCCCCTCCTGGTGGCTGTTCAAATGGTGGACACACTATGTTAGTGCTGCATATGCAGAGTCTGTCCATAACCACTGACTTGCATCAAAAAAACATGTCTGGATACTGTGCAACCCTTGTGTGACCAAAAAAGTTTGAATCATGAAAGCTTCTGGATACACCAATCACATAACCAACAATACTGAGATTGTGAGATAAAATAACAACCTTAAAAAGTATAAGCACACCATTAATGAGCAACTTTTTTTATTCCTCAAGATCCTCCTAATCAAGTAGATCAAAGTGAATTATGTCATCATGATGCTTCAAGATAGCAATCACAACTCATTTAATGCAATTGTAGACCATTCCAATAGATACTCCTACCAAATCTGCCAAGTCTTCCATTATTGCAGTATTGCCATAGTGCCTGATGCCATTGAGGAAAATTGCAAGCTGAATTGAGACAGGGAGTTGTGGGTTATTAGATTGATTATAAAATATTTAGTGTCCCTCAAGTAGTGTTGCCGCAGCTCCGGCTTATTGCTGGTTTTAGCCGCAGCTAGAGCCGTGAATAGCCAAGCTGAGGACATAGCTCTAGCTTACATACTTTACGGCCCGGCCCGGTTCATGTAGCCGCAGTTAAGGCTTAAGCTCAGCTCAAACTGGATTAAAATAATTATATATATAGATTAAAGTAAAAATACATTAGAATTTAGAATATTCTAGAAGTCTAGACTCTAAGAGACCAGAGATATGAGGAAACAAAGCTTGCACGCTAAAACAGGAAGCTGTAGAGCTTGTAACATTCGAGTGATCACAACATACATACATCTAAACTCACAACATATCTACAACAGATCTGACCTCAATGGGCCCCCAAGATAACATAAGTGTTCACACTGATTTTCGATCAAATGCTAACTCAATGTTAGTGCTATGGCAGCGCTCATCGCGCGCGAAAACTGAGGGAGCAGGAGAGGGCTGATAACACTTTGCGTGCATCCAAACAGATGGAAGCGGAGAGAAGGAGAGCTGCAGAGAGGCCGCCAAGATTGAGGCTGAGATGGCAGTGTTGGATCCTGAGGATGTTTTGTCGTGACTCGCGAGTAGTGGGAGAAGGTGTTGTGACAGAGGCACATGAAGGGCGTATGCACCAAGCTCGGATGCCTCGTGTGTGAAGCGCATTTCACTGGAGATCGTTGTCTTTGAGAGTTCCATTGGTAGTGAGGAGGGGAGGGGGAAGAAGAAGGGGTCTAGACGTGTAGGAAAGGACCTTGCTATAGATTTGTTTGATGTATCAGTAGTATCTGCCAGAAGAGTTTTTGAGAAAGATGAATTACCTGTTCACGAAACTATTATTGCCCGTCATATTGTAATGCTCATCGACAAAACCAACACCAGCACCTTGAAAACTCATTAGAATAGAGATAAACTAACATATAAAACTAGTCACTCCATGCGGTGCTCCTCTATCCAAAGCAGTGTCTTAAAGTAGCGCGAATACATTGAAGAATTGATGACCTTTGGGAGGAAGACTCTCCTAATGTGGTCCAGCACCTTTCCAGATGACATTTTCGATAATGCAGCTAAGAGTGACGCTGATATCTGCACCTTAGGCAAATTGATAGTATATGGGATGATGTTATTGGAAGTTGGAGTGACACCCAACACTACCTGCATCTCAGGTTGTGTACGAGTTTGCTGACGAGGTTGGAAGGGAGCAATTGGCAAACATAGCGAATCAGCCAACTAACCTTTTGGAATGAAATAGCCCTCAAAGATGTTGTCACTTGATGTTGCATGAGGAATACCTGTCGGAATAATGTTGAGAACGACATAGTTGACACATCAAGTCTCTCACCAGGTGATGCAATGATATGCCAATGAATGGCTTCCCGAAAAACAGCCTCCACGTACTTTAGAGATGGTTGCTTGGGCATTTTTCCGCCAACCCGGGAATGGACAAACTATAACATGATGAGCTCAAACCCTTACTAAATATCAGTGTGCTCACTGATAATACACTCTGTGATGTTCTAGCTGAGCATCAGGAATATCATAGTGTTCCAAATCATCCCTGCCTCCAAAAGCCAAGTCGAGCCAAATGAACTCGAGTGGCTCATCTTCAAATTGCTGCATCTCATGGTCACATAGTCCAATATTAGGGATAATGACGCCTTGTACGAGAGAGGCAATGGTATCGCGCGAAGAGAAAAGTGACTTATAGTATCCCGACCAAATTGCGGTGGATATGAAACGCAAAGATTGAGAGACAAGCTAGGAGGCCAATGCTAATGAGGTCATTAGAGAACAAAACAAAACAAACTTGGAAGCATACAGAGTCATCTGCGACACCAGGGAGCTTGTTCGACCTGATGAGCTCCCATACACTCTGCATAAATCCCTCGACAGCAGGCGAGCGTGATAGTTGGTCTGGGAAAAGCTTGATGTAAATCTGTTATGCGTGTTAGCTGTGATCGCCCATTCTGACTGTTACAAACCTTGCCAATCTCAAAAATCTTGGTCTTCAATTGAGCAGGCAGCGATGGCTGTGTTTCGTCGAGCTAAACAACAGGTCAGTAGCTGGCAGTGCAGGGCAAAGACATAACTTACATTGACTCGAAGCTCTGCAGGGTCCCATAGCATAAAACACTGAAAGAGTCCAGTTTGTGGAGCAAAAAAGGTGTTGTGACTCGTGAGCATCTTCGATGCCTGGAGGTGAATGTTGGCATGTAAAGTCATAGAATATATCGACGAGAATGATCTGGGCCTGCGAAATGATAGTAATATTAGCTTAGTATACAAGACCGAGTGTAAGTAGAGCACATGGGAGGGCAAGGTGATCCTGTCAGATTTTATACGACAGACAAAAGACAGATCACTTCACTTAGTTGTTGGGATGCAAGACGCGGATGCTTACAGAAAACTCAATATTAGAAACCTAGGGGGAAAATAGTCAACCATTGAAATCGATATAATGAGAGACAAAGCGCAGCAAGTACTAGGTAGTAGTGGTATATGAGATTACGAAAAATGTCAGTGATAGAGAATAGGAACATCGGGAATGTCATCACATTCATCCACTGCCATGGCTCTGAGAAGAGCGTCGTATTCGCAACTGCTGCCGGTACTGCCAGCAGATGACAAGAGTTCCTCCTGGCGCTTGTTGTCCGACTCCAGTGTACACTGTATTTGAGTGTAGAATTCCATATCCTGCTCAGATGCTGCCCATCCTTTGGTGAAGTCAAGGCGCTCTTTCTTCAGTAAGAATTTCAGCATCTGCAGCGCCTCTATCATGGCAGGGCTGAGGTGATTGCGCTTCTTTGTACACATTTCGCTGCTTGACGAGAAAATGTGTTCGTAGGGAACAGCGGAAGCCTGGATGGGTAGATAATCCATCGCAAGGCTGTAGATAGTGGGAAATAGGGACTTCAAGCTCTGGTCGACGTACCATAAATAATGAATAGAAGTAGGCGACTCAATAGAAAAAACTCACATTCCAAAATGCGAGCACATCAGTTCCTTGAGGGCTAACATGGGACATGCTGTATGCGTTAAATTCCTCATCAACAGTTTGAACGCTGAGATCGTGACGCGGCAAGTCAATATCAGGAATACCATAAATTTGCGCGCCTAAGGTTGCAGTGCGTGATTGGTGAGCCGGTGTTTCTACGAGTGGATGTTGAGTAGTATTGGCTCTCTTCTCCTGTAGCTGGAGGACATGTTAGCTTAATGATGCCTTATTTGAGTCAAGGTAGACGTACCAGTCGCATGATAGACTCCCTGGCACTACAAGCTCATTCTTCAGCCCAGTGACCATCGATTCGCGACAAACATAATGTAGGGTCAATGACTATAAAAAACCATGAGATCAAATGACCTGTACCAAGACAAAACTTACACATCGTGATTCCATATGTGTTTGTCTCGCTCATCTTGTGGCCATACTTATCTGCCCAGGTTAAGCCTACATCAATCATGGGCGCACATTGCCTCGCGATCCGGGCCACCCCTTCCCACCGCTCTATCAAACTTTCCAAGGCGGAGACTGCTTTACTTAGCATAGGGGTACTTTCACTAGACATTGATTGCTGACAAGCATGGGGCACCTGAGATAGATTAAAATGAATCATGCCCTAATGATGTCAGCACTAACCTCTAAAATCACTTCAAGATCTTGCAATACCATCCATTCCATTGGACTCAACCCGTATTCAGTTAAGTTGGGGTGAGTCGCAAGGTAGCAATTGATAGCCTGCGCCACTGTCAATTCACAATGAATGCTATATGAAATGAAGTCTTACTGGGCGAAGCGTTCAAAGACGATTGAGCATGACATACGTCGAATCCCATCGAGTAGGCTCATCGCATAGGAGTTTGACGACTGGAAGCTTTCCTCCTGGAAACAGATTTCCTTGATTACCAATAAAGATAGTGTTCCTAAAGGCTTCTCGTCGTTGGCCCGATGCACAGACCACACACACAAGACCTTTGCCTCATTTGACAGGCTGACATGTCAGAGCCTCCAAATATAACCCCTTTTTGACGATGGTACCGCGAGCTAGCCATTCAACGGGCGCCATTGCAAAATCCACGGAATGGTAGGTGCTAATAATGTGCTGAACGCATACAGTGGCTCAAAAAAGTGTCCCAATGTTTGTAGCTTTTCACGTAAGTGCTATATCATGAGTCAAGATGTGGAAATATGACTAAGCTATAGGAAGATGTCGGAAAGGTCTGCTTCTCAGCTTCATTTCGGTTCCCTATACCGTGGGAAAATAATGACATTATGTGAAGATATGAGTATTTTAATTTGATGACTCATTGGGACACTTTTTTGACTTTGAGTTTAACTAATGTAATCTCTATAATTCTAGTACTGTGTGTGACCTCCTTCTGCCCCAATCACTTCTGCCACTCTTCTAGACATATTGTCTATCAATTTTGGGTATTCCTCTTTGGTGATTCCATCATACTCTGCTGTAACACTGTCTCATAGTTGGAATAACCCCTATGGTGAATCTTGATATGCTATAAGTAATTTCTTGAGTGATTCTCAGAGGTATTCAATAGGGTTGATGTCTTGGGTCTATGTTGAACATGATAGAATAGTAATATCATGGTCTGCAGGCTATTGGTGGCTGATTTAGAGGTATACTTAGGGTCATTGTCTTATCACAAAACAGTATCTTCTTCATTAACTTATAACTCCTGCATGCTTCTTAGCAGACATTCCTGTCAAATGAGTATTTACTACTCTGTATTCATCCTCCCCTTTGCTTCATAGAAAATTCCCATTCCATTTTATCTCATATAGTCCTATACCATCAAGTTTTCGTCTTGAAACTTAAGGTGTTTATTTAACTTTTCTTTATCTTAATGATTGCCCTATCTATTTTAATACAAATTCCTTGCCATATGATCTCATCCTATTGATTTTAACCATATCTAACTAGATAAACCTCTTTCGGCTATCAGCAGTCTAATATTTGTACTTGAAAGTAGCATCTTGTCTTTTCTTTTTATAGGTTGGAGACAGAAGAATCTGTTTTTCTTGATTATAGCTTTAAGATGGGCTGTCTTGAGAGTCTGTCTGACTATTTGAGTAGAGATAGTCATAGGAATGATGGAAATAATCAATTTAGTCACTTTATTAACATCAGCAGCCTTTTAAATTAGAATATAGTGATTAAGAGATCTTAAGTCTTATAGAGCAACCTTCTAGATTGGCTACCAAATAACTTAAAGACCATAATATTACTATTCTATCATGTTCAACATAGACCCAAGACATCAACCCTATTGAATACCTCTGAGAATCACTCAAGAAATTACTTATAGCATATCAAGATTCACCATAGGGGTTATTCCAACTATGAGACAGTGTTACAGCAGAGTATGATGGAATCACCAAAGAGGAATACCCAAAATTGATAGACAATATGTCTAGAAGAGTGGCAGAAGTGATTGGGGCAGAAGGAGGTCACACACAGTACTAGAATTATAGAGATTACATTAGTTAAACTCAAAGTCAAAAAAGTGTCCCAATGAGTCATCAAATTAAAATACTCATATCTTCACATAATGTCATTATTTTCCCACGGTATAGGGAACCGAAATGAAGCTGAGAAGCAGACCTTTCCGACATTTTCCTATAGCTTAGTCATATTTCCACATCTTGACTCATGATATAGCACTTACGTGAAAAGCTACAAACATTGGGACACTTTTTTGAGCCACTGTATATTGATAATATGTGGAAAACACGGTATCCTGCGATTAAGAGGATCAAACTCAATACCGCGTGTCGACAGCAGACGAAAAAGCTCGGCCATGGCAGTCTTATTGTTTGCTGCGTTATCTAGAGTAAAATGACTGACCTAGACCCAAGTCAGAATATGCTACACAGTGCAGTCAATCACTAACTTTGTCTGTCACCTCCGCACGGTCCAGGAGCCCCAATATAATTGTGGTGAGTGACGCCCCATCATGAGGACCCCAGAATGTGGGTAAAGCCTATAAGGGCAACTTTGAGAACAAGCTTTGATGCTTGCTGGGTGATCCAGTGAGCCGTTAATGCCAAGAATGGACGAAGATTCTCGTCTGACCAGAGGTCAGACGTAAACAAGATTTTGCCCTCTGCTTTCTGAGAGAATATAAGATAATTTGTAAGATCAAAGAGTCAGACACTTACGGCCATATCTCGCTTTAAAATGTCAAAATATTCGTACCACGTTTCGACTATCAACTCACGGAGTTTTGTCCGATGGGAGATGTTGGACTCGTGTAGATCCTTTCGCAGAAGTCGAAGTAACCGTCGGAACTCAGGGCATTCCATTAAATTCACTGCCTAAAGATGCCAATTAATAACAGTATCGTAGAGAGCAAATACGTACTCACTTGGTCATCGACCACAATAAATTTGACGAGTTGCTTGTGCATCTCCTCAATGGTAAAATCCGGTATGTCATCTGCAAGTGCTGACCCGCCTAGCCTGGGTCATGAACCAAAGACCCCCCCGCCGGGGGAGGAACCAAATGACTCAAGATACTTATCTGGGTCCTGGTCAAGCTCCTGATGGAGCTGCGTGAGAATCCACCCCATATCAAGGAGATTCTGGACCTCTTTGGCCCCCACTTTCAGGTTCAATTGCTCCAGTGCCATGATATAGACACGTAAGTGGAATTTGAGCAAATGACTCCAAAGAATGCTTGTACCAGTTGACGAACCATATTCGACGACACCATATGAGGCATCTTCTTTCTGTATGTCCCTGGTGAATAGCGTGAAAAAGAAATGAACAAAAAATAGTCAGAGATGATACTCACGCACAGGGTTCACAAATGTGCTTCCCTGATGTTGGATCCTTGGTAAAAAAATGATGTACCTCCGATCCCAGCTGTTTTGTTCAACGCCCCGTGGCCAAGGGATCAGATCGGGCTGTATCTGTACCTATGTGCATCTGGAATGGGCTGGGGCCTATGTGGGCTGCTTCTACTGGGATTAGTAGGTCATCCTCATCTTCCTCCCAGATGTTGTCAACAACGTTGAACTTGCTGTCGTCTGCTGCGCGGCTTGGACCAGCCTTGCGAGCTTTGTTGCCTCGAATATTTGTATTGGGCTGTTGAGTTCTCTGAGGATTTTGGAGAGTTGCGGTCACTGCAGCTTGGGAGGCTGCAGCAGGGGGAACTACAGCAGCAGGTGGGGGAACTACGATGGTGAGATGGGAAGCCTCAGATGTGCCGACAGGGGGATCTACAGTAGTAGGGTATGGTGTCTGAATTTTGTTGGGAGGATGTCATCGAGGTGGCATGATCGTAACTGTTGGGGATCCAATGAGTGAATGACCGTTCTATATAAACTGATGGCACATACATGTAACTAGGTCGTCAGGTCTCGAAAATTCGAGGGTGCGTCAGCTGCCGCCAATTAGCGAAGGTTAGAGAATGTCACAGAATCAAGGGATTGTCTAACCCCAAAACGCTGCAGAGTCTCAGTGAAAGTAAGATCTAGAATTCAGGACTTACCTTCATCACCCAATTGCCTACAATCAATTGAACCCTTGTGCAGTGCCCTGGTCCCTGGACATGCAGCACACCACTATTACCGACCAAATTTACCCTAAGATTGATTGTATACATTAGCTGCTGGAAACTTTCTAGTAAACGAGGTGTAAGCCCTACCATTCAAGGGTTAGCATCGTGCAATCGTGAGTCAGACACTTAGGTCTGACTGATCCCAGTTCACTATTGACGATACAAATGACAAACCCATTCTGTAATCGCTGAGCAACTGGATTGAATCCCGATCAAAACACAAAATTTCAATGGCATGTTGGTAGAAGGTCCCTGGATTGTCGATTTGTAGATGAAATCTGTAGGGGACAGTGTTACAGTGTGGACAACATGATGGTGAACGCAAGGTGGCATACGTGTGCATATCAATAAGAAGTTGTCACATTAGTAATATGTCACATCACTCGTGTAACGATAAATTAAAATGTACACAAACTCTACATAAAACATATTTGCTCGAGCGTTGGGGGAGCAAAAAGAAAGAGAATAGAATGATATAGTACATAACTAAATATTTTTACAATGTGATGTCTTTGAAACAGTTACAGGCACAGGGGAACCATTATGTGGGCGTAAACTTGGGGGTTTGACTTAGTGAGTCACAGTGGGAAGAGTGAACACAAACTACTCACACATGACAAGTCAATCTGCAAAGAGGCGTTGTCTTCGATCGACATGAAGGTGCCTCCTTGGCCACCAAGTGACCTTGCAGGGATGGAGGGGGATGTATGATGGTATCATTAGACTGGCTGAAGTCCAGTGAGCATGTGACTGGTGCAGGTAATGTGGCGTAAACATCATGGAGCAAAGATCGAAGATAAGTGTAATCGGGATCCTCTGAGAATGCGAGATTGCGGGAGTAAATGAGCATAGTTGTGATCTCGGAAGGAATTCCGAGGCACAAAACTTCAATGGTGGTGTCCACCTTGCATGCCAGTATGGAGGAGCTAGAGAGCTTCTCATGGTCACTAGTCAGCCATGGAAGGGAGCCGCAGATGAAATAAATCAGCATGTATACAAGCAACTCGAGATCATCACAATGACCAGGCACGACTCCCAGGTGGTTGTTGATTGATGCAAACACTGGAGTGCCAGTAAGACGTCAACCTTGATGAAATGACATATGGGCTTGGGTTGTAGAGCTCCAGTACTCCTTCGCAACACCAAAATCAACAATAAAGATGCTATTCTTGGAAGCGCCGCGACCAATTAAGACATTTTGAGGCTTGATATCACCATAAACATAGTTATGTGAGTGGATATGCTCCAGAGATGAGAGCTAGGAAATAAGTTAGCATTGCCAGGACACACCATAAATCAACTTACTAGTTGGTCTCCAATATTCAGGATGGTACAAAGGTTGAATTTTCGATTGCGCATGAGGAAAATATCATGCAATGATGGTCCGAGGAGGTCGAGAACCAGTGCATCATATGTCACTTCTCTACCGAACCAGCCAGCACGCGGGATCCCAACTCCACCTTGAAGTTGCTTTAAAGTGTTGTATTTGTGTTCTAAGGAAGATGAGTTGTTGATAAGAGGCTCAAGTTTGACGGCAAATTCATCATCGTTAATAATATTCCATGCATGGTATACAACACCTAGAATGTTTTAAATTCAAGTTCAACATGTACATGTAAATAACATACCATACGAGCCAGATCCTAACATGTCTCCCAGCCTGAATCTGCCATCGACTCTAATTGGGACGTTTTTCATTGCACACTAAGATATTCAAAGATTTGTTAGATGGGAAACAACGGAAGAGGGCTGCATGCTGGCATCAAGTTGGTTGGAGCCAGCTTCAGCCAGCTCAAGCCGATGTAGCAACAACAATACTGAGAGGAACAAATGATGCTCCTGACTGTATCTAAAAATGTTGTAAGGTCACACGTTGCCTAGTCTGCGTCACCTGAGGAGACAAGTGTGTTCGACCCTAAAGGGGAAGCGAGTGCAGTGAAGATCTAGAGGTATGCGCTGAAGCGAGGTGCGTGAAGGTGCAGGTGCGCGCAAGGCATGGGAACACGCACGCATATTAGCGCGAAGCACGGGAAAGCGCGCGCGCATATGCAGAAACAATAGAGAGACTAGACTCAAGTGATGATATAATGCAAGATAGAGATGTGAGAATGCGAGATGTAAAGGAATAGATTTCTACTATATTCTGCTAAGTAGTAAGTGAGTAGTAAGTAGTCAGTTGAAGGAAAAGTTGTTGGAAAGGTAAGTGGTAAAAATGGAAAGTGAGTAGTACTATGTACTGCTGGTGCTTATATAGTGCGCCTAAGCGCTGTAATGCGGAGCCGAAGCGCTACCAAGTAGATATGTAAAGATATATATGAGTGAGAATCCATGATAAAAATAAAGACAGAACAATATGCAAATGAGAGAAATAGAAATATACGCACTAGAGGGCTTGGTGGACAGTGGATGGGTGCTTCTGGATGGCTGGCGCTATAGGGCGCTCAAGCGTGGGAATGCGCGCGCGCGTATACATCGTGAAGCGCGGGAATGGTGCGCGCATTGCGCGGGAAAGCTGCGCCTCATAGTGGAATACCTGCGGATAGCACACAGAGTGATGCTGCAAGTTTGTGCTATGTACTCCTAGTGTAAAGCGCCATATCACACCATGAGAGGCATGATTCTCTACACCGGCTCAAACTGCCTTTCACACATAATGGGCTTAGAGCTGGTTCACACGGCTAACTGAGGTGAACCGAACCGAAAAACTAAGTGAGCCTACCTAGTGCTAACCGAACTGCCGCATAACCATTAAAAGCCAGAGCCGAGCCACGGCATTACTACCCTCAAGAGGGTTGACAAAATTGTCAGATATTCAAGACATGTTCTTATGAAAAAAAAGCAGCATTCAACAGGTTTCAAACCTGTTTCACTCCAATAGAAACAGATTTTGATTCTATTAGGACAACCACTTGGCTGAACACAACTCTGATGAGCTTGTAAGCAAACCAACCATGAGCATATATAAAGGTGTGGTTTTATAAAAAATAAAATTTACTCATGATTGATATTTTTTTTCCCTGTTAGAACACACCTTGACATCAGCTCATGTGCACTCTCCTGAGAGCTTCATATCACTAGTCTTAGCCAAGTACATCAGGAAAAAGCCAAGATTGTCATAGCCACGGTGATGGCTATATAGGCACTTATAGCCATTGTAGCACTATATAGTCTCCCTTCAGCCTACATATAGCTATATAGCACTATATAACCTCAATCCACACTACAGGACTTATGACTGTGCTACAGGCACCTATAGGATGCTACAGGAGTAACCACCATGCTACAGGTTACTACAGGCACATCTGTCCAGTGTTTGCAGGTATACTAGACATGCTGCCTTCTAAATACTTGTCATAGCCATACAAAACATCTCACTGTCAATGAAATCATTAAAATAAATTCATTGGCTGCCTCATATGCATTCCCAGTTATCAACTTTGTGTCCACAGATTGTCCCACCTTCGGTATTAGATGGCACAGCCATATGATTTCATCAACATGAATCACTACAGCATTGCAGCAAAATTGGTGGGTCGAGTGTGACACTTATCACATTCCAGATGAAGGGTCCAGTGATCTGAATGGAGTAAACCACTCTGTGTAAGTGAGGGCTCTTGAGTATTTGCCAAACTGACGAGGGAGTGAGAAAATCACACGAACTTGAGCCACTTGCAGACCTGCAGCAGACTGATCAGATTGCTGTGAAACTGAAAACAAATCAAACTCAAACATACCATCTAAAGTATGCAAGTGTGGAGAGTGAGGACCATCTGATATCAACGCCATATCAAAATGAGCAGGACAACCTGGTTTCCATTCTGATGCAAGTCTCTCTGGTGTCGCTCGAATGCGCCTGCACATTGGTGCATCACTAACTTGAAAAGCAGGTGGCATCACAATGACCAGTTGATGATATATATCAAAATGGTTCTGAATGCCTGGTACAAGGGTGTTGTGCAGAAGATTCATGCGAAGAAAGGTTTGAAGTGCAGGGATAAAATCTGTCATGCCATGGGCATTTACAATATTTTGAACAGATTAGTGAGGATGTGCAGGGCTCTTGGCAAGGACATGGGTCACTTGGAGCTTGCCTGCAGGTGTTGCATGAGGAATAGCAGCCTCTCCCAAATCTGAGTCTGAATCTGAATCTGAGTTGACTGCTGTGTGACCTGCAGCAGAGAGAGGCATCCAGAGACTCGGCCATGTGAATGTGAAGCTGGGCATAATATGAGAAATCAAGAATAGCATGTGCCACTGCCAACACATGACTGCCAGGCATAACTCAGCAACAAATGCCATCCTCAAGATATGTTACATATGTACCTAGGTACTGCTCTGGTCAGTATCCCCATAAAAACTCACTGCATTTCTTTATGCTCACTTCCCATCCATTGCTTTACATTTGATATACCTTTTTCGAAGTGCCAAAGTCCAGGATAATCTGGGACTGCCTTGAATCATTGTAGAAGAGAAATGAGTAGTGGGGTAATATGAGTGGTATCTCGATGAGTAAGATATACATCGGCCCAAGGGGATTGCTACTGAGAAGGTTCCTCTAAGTGTATAATATGGAGGGAAACACTGAACCAGGTGCTTTAGTCAAGCCTGGTAAGGTGTGCGACAATGAGTGAAGTGCAAGTGAGCAAAGGTGATGTGAAGTGCTGATGAGCGACAATGGCCGATGATAAGCGACGGCGCAGGACTTATAACGGAAGTGCACGCTAAGCGGTAGCGGTGTGCACGTGCGAGTGGTGGAGCGTAGCGACTCTTAATGAATTAGAAAACAGATTGGCAGAGTCTCTAGTAATGTACGGCGGCGGCACTCGTATTGTACTTAGATACTTTAGATTTAGAAAGAGAACTTAGACTTATAGTCCAATGATGTACGGGCAGAAAGATGATCCTTATACAGTTTTAGGTGCGTGTATATACTAAGTAATGATAAGCACTGTCAAGCGCTAAAGCGAATCGAGAAGCGAAGCGGATATGGAATAATATGTAATCTAAGGGTCCACGATGGACAACATATGGAATATGGCCATAAGCGCCGGAGATATGTTAGAATAAATGGAAACAAGTCAGGAATATGTACCGACGAACTGAATGGACATGGAATGGATGGACAGAGGACGAGTGACAGAACTGAGGATGCGTGCGCTGACACGCGACTGATGAGCGACTGGAGCGCTGGTACAAGTGAGCGGCTGCTGAAGCGCTGGTACAAGTGAGCGGCTGCTGAAGCGCTCGAGTGTGCTGGGTGAGATATGGGTCGCGCTATGTTAGCCCATTCTCCTCTAATTCTGGTGGATGCTGACCATTCTTGCGCCTTTGCAAGATATCTTTCATGGGCTCAGGATCACGCATCACTGAGTCCAGTACATACCCTTGCTTATTAGCTCCCACAATGCACTTTGGACAATGGTTCTCCTCACAGCAAGAAACAAGACACTGTTCGGGAAAGTCGGCCACGTATGCCACCAGTATCAGATAGACACACCAAATCCATGAGTCTGCACACACCATGTCCACACCTGAGAGGATGCAGGAGCAGTCTCATGTAATGATGGAAGAGTTGGTGACCAGCCAGGGAGCATGCATCTGGAGTGAAGCAATCAAGCTTCCCTGTAGGTAAGTACCCAAGGAGCACTGTGGCTCATGCTGATGTTTGATGCCTTTGTGCTTTGGCGATATTACCAATAGACATATACACCGGCCACACTGACTTATCTCCTTGGAATTGGGATAACAATGTTTTGTCAGATGCTAGAATAATTGGAGCTATGGTGGCTCCATCAGGCAACACCTTCTGCATGAGAGGTCAATCCGGTCAGTCTAATCCTTATTGCTCTGTCTGGCACAATCTTACCTATTTCTCAGCCCACCAGTCTGCCATCCACATTTTGTCGATAATTTGATGCTCCCCCACACAGTGTAGAGACTAATATCTCTGTGGGCTTACAGGGATCTAAATTCCTATTGTCCAAATCACTTCCTAATATAGCACGACTCATATCTCACCCAGCGTGCTCAAGCACTTTGTCAGCCGCTCGCATGCACGAGCACTTCAGTCACGTATCCTTGGTTCCGTTACTCATCCTCCGTCTATCCATTCCATGTCGGTTCGGTTCGTTGGTGCATATTCTCATCCTATTTCCATTTATTCTGACATATCTCTGGCGCTTATGGCCATATTCTGTATGTTTTCCATCATGGACCCTTATATTACATATTATCTCATATCTGCTTCGCTTCTCGGTGTAGGGTTTCATTTCTGGCTGGGCTGGTAGAGACTGTTTTTACCTTACCTTATGTTGGCACTTTTGTAGCTTACATAATGTGATTATCTTTTCACCAGTTACCAGTATGAGCCTGAAAGATCAGCAGTTTTCTATCATATTTCCTCTCCTCTGAGCCTTGAGCCTGGTCCAGAAACCCTTTAGGGTTGAATAGCAGCTAGGTTCTGCAAGACCCAACATTGTTCAGACTCACCATCTGAATTGTTGTACCTTCATTGGTTCGCTTTAACACTTAATATTACTTAGTATATGTATGCATGCCTAAACTGTATAATGATTATCTTTCTACCTACACATTGTTGGACTCTAAGTCTAAGTTCTCCCTCATATCTATCAACTAAACCTTAAGTATCTAAGTACAATACAAGCACCCACTATCGTACATTACTAGAGACTCTGTCAATTAATTTGAAAACTCATTAAGAGTTGCTCCACTCCACCACCACATGTGTGCACCGCTTCTGCTCAGCGCACGATCCTGTCATAAGTTGCTCATTGTTGCTCATTATTGCTTACCATCACTTATTAGTGCTTCAGGTTGCCTTTGCTCACTTGTGCTTCACTCATTGTCGCATGCCTTACCAGGCTTGACCAAACGCCTGGTCCAGTGTTTCAATCCACACATAAACTTAGAGGAACCTTCTCAGTAGCAATACCCTTGGGTCGACACATATCTCACTCATTGAGGACTACTTGAGTATATCTCATACCACCCTATGATCTACACTACCAATTCCTCTTCTACAATGGTCGGAATAGGCTCTGGCTGGGCTATAGGCCATATCTTCCTTGAAAGAAGGGTTCCCAATCAGCTCCTTCACGCATTCAACTGGATCTCAACCACCCTTGGCTGTAGTATTAGACCTAATATGTTGGGCAACTACCAGTTTTACCATACACTTTCCTTGGCAACTGCCAGTTTGCTTTTTTGACCTATTGCATGGGACTTGCCAGGTCCCTATTTGGGTGGGTGTTGTGGCTTTCACAGCTGCATTTTGGGGTTTTTTCAAACTCAGCTATGTTTTCAGTCACAAATGTGTCACCCCACAAATTAATTGTTCCCACACCCTCCCCACATCATTGCAGCTTCACCACCACACCACAATAGCTCCCCCTTTATATATAAGTAGTAGTTTAGTATATATATGTATAATATAATATAATAGACTGCTTTTTTTATTTGTTTGTATGACTGCTCCTCCTCCAGAGGCAATTCAACATAGGGTAGGGTGCAAAATACTTTTGAACTTTTGCCCCTTTGGTGAGGAAGTGTTCTATGATATTCAGAACATGTTTATGAGCATATATGAGTAGATTCCCATCTTTATTTGACCCCCTGAAGTGTCCTACATCAATAGATATAGCACATATGCAAGAAAACACAGAATATGTTCCCATTTAATTATTTCTAGGTGAACAGACTTGGAAAAATACTTCCCAGCATCTATTCAACAATAGGAACAATGTATCAGGAGCACAGGACCATAGGACAATACCCTGTTGCATGGTGTGGCCCCCCTCCCCTGGTGGTTTACCCCCTGTGAAAAATTTAATTTTCCTGTAGGACCGGACCTCAATTGAGGTAGGGGGTCTATTCCTATATATATTTGGAGTAGATTTATCATATAGCTGGCCCAGGACACACATAGAATCTTGCTACAGGAACAAAAACATAGAAAATCGCATTTTTGATGTTTTTCAGTATCTTGCTCTTGCATATATAATCCAGCCTGTTCATATATCACTATAATAGCATATTCACTTGCTTTGTGTGACAAGGATCAGCCCTAAATAGGGCGCAAATTTGAGATCTGGTGTATAGAGGGTATTTCTACTGATAAGGAGCCTATCTTGTCAAAGCATCAAAATTTAATAATCAGACACCTGGAGTAGATTTAGAATACATTCACTATCATATCCCTAAATTTACAAAACAATCCAACAAGAATTGAGTGTTGAGGAAGTGAAACAGATAAGAAATTGAGTGTGGGAAAGTTCAAAGACCCAAAACATCGAAAATGGTCAGTTGGGCAGTAGTGCTGTCCAATTATGATTATAATACTTTGAGAGTCATAATGTAATATAATCATAATATTACGGACCAGCGAGCGAGAGTATCTAATGATATAGATATTGTAATGAAATGTAATGGTAATGTAATGATATCTAATAGTATCTAATGGATGCTCACGCTGTCGAGGAAATTGACATCATTCCCGAAATTGTGTTTCAACCATTCCTTCGCAATGATAGTGATTGACGCAGATTCAGCACTCAGAGATGAACAGCTATCGGAGAGGGTGTGTTTGCTGCTTGAAAACAAATGTTCGATGGAGATGCTGACAGCAGGGATTGCGAGAATGTCACGAGCGATGCGGGAAAGTACAGGAAACATTGTCTCGTGTTGCTAAGTAGAATACAGTCTGAGTCAGTTATTGAAGAATAAACAGCTGCAGTTAAAACAAACGAACCTTCCACCAGAGTAAAGAATTATCCTCCTGTTCCGTCATGCATGGATAAAGGCCACTGAGGTAAATGTCAACCTCTTTCTGAGATGCGCTAGGGCCAGTCTTCTGCATGTGCATCTTGACTGCTGACTTGAAAGCAGAACATTTGATGGGTGAGACAGGATCCACAATACTAGTAGTGGGAGTGATGGAGGAGTTGTCTGCACTATCCTCAGAGTATACCTGGTACATATGATCAAGAAGAACTCGCACATGAGCTGCAAGATTGGTGTGTGACCACAAGGTCTCATTGTCGAAATATGAGACTCGCATTCTCGGATGTAGAACTAGACACATCAATATGAATATAATATACTTCTGACACCGTAAAAACACACTCACCGGCACCTAACAAAGGGTAATCAGATACCAGAGCTTTCTCCATGTGAATCCGAAGTTTGTTGAGGTCAGCTGTGAGCACATCTTCGAGTCCATGAATGTCGTTTTCCTCTGAGGCTTGATGGCAATAAGTGTCCATGTGTAACTCCAGCTGTTTGTACAATGGAAGAGTGTAGCATATGGTAGGGACATGTTTGCGGGACAGGTTGAGTGTCGAAGTGTAAAAAAGCTGTAATTGTGAGCACTGTGAGTTATACACAAGTAAAATGATTAAAAATGCACAACAAGAATTGAAGAAAGACGCTCAAGAAATTCCCAGTCACTGACACTCAATGCCAATTTTGTCTTCTTGCAGATTGCGGCACGCTTCTTTGACCCAGTGAGACAAGCATCAAGTTGATCAACCCATTGATTGATTGCCTGTATGTTTAATGTAAGGTGCATCAAGTTAGCTGATGGTAAAACTACATACTGGCTTGAGCTTCATAGCTTGGTCAATTTCTGCGAGTGTTGTATTCCACTGAATGGGCATGCTGTGAATGGGAACAAGACCCTTGTAATGTGCGTCACATAGTTGACGGATAAGTTGGCGCATCCGTTTCTGATGAACCTCTGAAGCGAGAATATCAACTGCAATTGCATGAAGCTAACAGCGGCATCAGAATTGACTTAGTATGCAAAATACAACAACTCACCTTCTCGACTACAGTAAGATGTTGACTTTTCTTTGCTTTTCTCACACTCTTCCCCATAGGTGCAGCATTTTTGTCATCACTCGAGACATACACATCTGATTCAGCATGTTGATTTGAGGGATCATCCTCATCATTGTTCTTTGCTACCTCTTTTTGCATCTCTTCCATTTCTTGCTGGACTTCGGGGTCATCTTCAGGTGAGTATGTAATCGGGAACTGTTGAGCACTCTCATAGAGATCTTCCTCCTCAGGGTCCGGAGCACAGTGGAGACCATGCAATATTGCCCTGCCAGTATTATACTTTGTCAGTACTAGGAAGAGGTGAACTTAAGGCTACATACTGCACCACAAGATTGATAACATGAGCTGCGCAGCCAATTTGCATATTTGCACGATGCAAGTGGGTACCTTCATCAACAATCTGTTTTGTGAGTGCCTCGTTCATAGTTGTGTTACTTGCTGTGTTATCTGTAGCATGTGCGACTATCAAGAGATGAGTGATAAAGTCTTTGTGAGCTGATCATGAACTCACTGATCTTGCTTGTCAATTTCCGATGCTTCAGCACCTTGAACAGTAGCTTTCCAGACACTTTCCCTGAATGATCTCCATCAAGCGGAATAAGCTCCAGAGGAATTTGCATGAGCTCCCACTTGTCATTGATCCAGGAGACCACAGAACCAAGAAAAGCATAGACTGAGTTTTTGCTGGTCCAGATATCACTCGAGAAGGCAAGCTGGGAGATGTTCGACTACAAAATTTGTTTGTTTACACCAATTTTGATCTGAGCACAATAATTCTCACCTGAAGAGTGGCATTGACTTTTTTATTTGTACCTTCATAGAGCCGATCAATGCCACAACAAATAGTCTGACATAAAGGTAATGCATAAACTGTTGGCAGAATCAGTGTGAATGTTTGTTTCATGCCTTGTTTCTCAACCAGTGAGTATGGAAGGTCATCTTCAACAATACCCTTTACCAGGGTTTCACGCCAGGTCTTTCTGGTAAGCTGCTTGGCTGGATGCTCGATTCCTCACTGCACAAAATCTTGCATAATCTGCCTTTGAGGACCAGGACCTGGAGCTCCCACAGAGACTTGCACTCCATTTGATTTCTGGGCACACCATGAGTCGAAGGAATGTTCTCATGGCAATTTGGGACATTTTGGCAAGTGTGAGATGAAATTACTTGAAGGGGGTGCCTTGATAGTTTCAGCATCATAAGATGTGCATCGTGGTGTGTGAGGTGATGTCCAGAATGTGCTGGGTAGAATATATGAGTTTCTAGCAACATGCTTGCAGTGAGATACTTACTCGCACCAGTTACACTTCCATTTCCACACAGGATCTCCTTTTTTATTGGTAGCGAGTGACGGAACAAACTGTAGCATCACCCATTGTCCTTTCAAAGGATTCTGTCCAGCATGTACCTCAACCTCTTCTACATCAATCTCACTTTCAGACCTCTCACTTTGAGCCTTGGCGACAGAGTTAGAACAGAAAAACTTTCATAGGAGTGAAGTTACCCGAGTCTTTTGCTTCTTCTTCTTAGGCATACCACTCTTGCCATTTGCTGGAACTGCCTTGATGTCACTGATACTACCATTGTCGGAAACAGGGTCTTTGTGTGGTGGAACATAATCATGATCATCTAGGTCACTCTCGGCATCTTTGAATTATGTCAGTGAAATACATATATGACTTGGACAGAACTTTCACCTTTAGCTAATGTTCGTTTAATGCAGAGGAAAAGTCCACTAGCAGCCTTTTTTGAAGTCCCTGTAGGAGCACTGCCATGTAATATCAAGTAACATTAGAATTCATGACACGAAGTCTACAGAACATTACATACACGTCATAAAGCAATTTGATAAGTACTTTGATGCGCTCATTCATCAAGTTGAGTCCATTATGCTACTTAATGTTCGGTAATGCAGCAAAGTGAGCAGCAAAATTGTGTGCAAGGATGATACCATACTTTCCTCGCACAACCAGTTTCCGCTGTTCATCCTCGGAGCATTGAAAGACCTGTTCCCAGGCACAATTGAATGAGTAAAATGGACCTTCATCTTCATCAACGCTGAGATCACATAAGTGATGACTGATTGGACCATCTTTGGCTGCTTCTGGCAACAAAGCTGGGGAGTCCAGTTATAGCAGATTGAAGATCAGTGAGTGATTGGGCCAGCTGTTTTTGCTGCTCACTCAATTGAGCCATTGAGTTATGCTGCCCTAATGCAAAGATATCAAATTCCTTGATCCTGAATGCTGCGCAGCACCCACTGAGTATGGTAGGCTGCTGTAGAGAATCATGCCTCTCATGGCGTGATATGGCAGTTCCCACCAAGGAGTACATAGCACGAACTTGTAGTGTCACTCTGTGTGCTACCCGCAGCTATCCCTATATGAGGCGCAACTTTCCCACGCTTCACGATGTATATGCGCGCGCGCATTCCCGTGCTTGAGCACCCTATAGCGCCAGCCATCCAGATGCATCCATCCACTGTCCACCATATTCTCTAGTGCGTATATTTCTATTTCTCTCATCTGCATATTGTTCCATCTTTATTTTTATCATGGACTCTCACCCATATATATCTTACATACCTACTCGGTAGCGCTTCGGCTCCACATGACTGCGCTTAGGCGCGCTATATAAGCGCCAGCAGTACATACTATTACTTACTTTTTCAACTAACTTTCCATTTTTACAACTTATTTTTCCTACTACTCACTTACTACTTAGCAGAGTATAGTAGAAATCTATTTGTCTACACTTTGCATCTCTCTTCTCCTACCTTGCATCATATTATCACTTAAGCTTAGTCTTTATCAATTTCCGCATATGCGCGCGCGCTTTCCCGTGCTTCGCGCTAATACGCGCGCGTGTTCCCGCACCTTGCGCGCATCTGTGCTTCGCTTCAGTGCGTACCTGTAGATCTTTGCTGCACTCGCTTCCCTTTAGGGTCGAACGCGCTTGTCTCCTCAAGTAACGCAGACTAGGCAACGCACGACCTACAACATTTTTTAGATACAGTCTGGAGCCTCATTTGTTCCTCTCTGTATTGTTGTTTCTACACCGCTATGCGTGGGAACTACTCCTGTTTCAACTGTACAGTTATTGCTTCAACCGAGTCACTCTGAACAAAATATTATGATTAAATACTTAAGTCATATTATAATGTAATCGTACAATAATATAATGTACTAGATTATATGGTGTATGCAGAGCCCCTCTATAAGCCTATATTATAATCAAGATAATGATTAATAATAATATTATATTAAAATATAACCTGTAATGTGGACAGCACTATTGGGCAGTGGTAGGACTTTAATGCTGGGTCAACTCAAATATACACCACATCCCTTCCACCACCCTCCAACCCCAGGGCAGTATGTAGTATAGGTTCCTTTAGTAGTCTACCATGTATTCTACATATTTTAAGTGAAATATTTGACCTGTACCATATATATATGTGACTTTGTGTAAAAATATGTCAATTGTCACTTTTTACACATATGTATGTCATTTTACTTGTCATTCAGTCAATTCTTCATGGATCTTTCTAAAACTTCAGATTCATCATTAAGGACATATATGAGAGGTATTCCAGGTCCCAGATCACTTATCACAGGCTTGATTACTATGTAGGTTTCTTATCAGTAGAAATACCCTCTATACACCAGATCTCAAATTTGCGCCCTATTTAGGGCTGATCCTTGTCACACAAAGCAAGTGAATATGCTATTATAGTGATATATGAACAGGCTGGATTATATATGCAAGAGCAAGATACTGAAAAACATCAAAAATGCGATTTTCTATGTTTTTGTTCCTGTAGCAAGATTCTATGTGTGTCCTGGGCCAGCTATATGATAAATCTACTCCAAATATATATAGGAATAGACCCCCTACCTCAATTGAGGTCCGGTCCTACAGGAAAATTAAATTTTTCACAGGGGGTAAACCACCAGGGGAGGGGGGCCACACCATGCAACAGGGTATTGTCCTATGGTCCTGTGCTCCTGATACATTGTTCCTATTGTTGAATAGATGCTGGGAAGTATTTTTCCAAGTCTGTTCACCTAGAAATAATTAAATGGGAACATATTCTGTGTTTTCTTGCATATGTGCTATATCTATTGATGTAGGACACTTCAGGGGGTCAAATAAAGATGGGAATCTACTCATATATGCTCATAAACATGTTCTGAATATCATAGAACACTTCCTCACCAAAGGGGCAAAAGTTCAAAAGTATTTTGCACCCTACCCTATGTTGAATTGCCTCTGGAGGAGGAGCAGTCATACAAACAAATAAAAAAAGCAGTCTATTATATTATATTATACATATATATACTAAACTACTACTTATATATAAAGGGGGAGCTATTGTGGTGTGGTGGTGAAGCTGCAATGATGTGGGGAGGGTGTGGGAACAATTAATTTGTGGGGTGACACATTTGTGACTGAAAACATAGCTGAGTTTGAAAAAACCCCAAAATGCAGCTGTGAAAGCCACAACACCCACCCAAATAGGGACCTGGCAAGTCCCATGCAATAGGTCAAAAAAGCAAACTGGCAGTTGCCAAGGAAAGTGTATGGTAAAACTGGTAGTTGCCCAACATATTAGGTCTAATACTACAACTACGGCTGTCTCAACTCCATAATTCCACCTCTTCTTGTAACAGCTTTCTGTTCTCATTCTCATGGTTACTGCACACAGCAACCTTCTTACAACTCCACACTGGACCATGTGGAAGTTCATCTATCATTTGTAAGAATGACCAGTTATTGTGAAATTGAAGCTTCAAGCAGTTTTGAGTCTGGTTACAGTATCAACACAGTGAGTTCAAATTTTGATCTATACTTGGAACATACTATGGGTAGTTTCAGAAACTCATTGGTCTGCCTTTGACTGAGGTTTCTGACAAGCCATTGGGCTAGACCCCACTCCTCTCTGGTGCATCGTCTATTGAGTATATGCTTTGCCACCATGATCCAACACTCATGCATTCTCAAAGGGTGCCCATTGATCTTCACCCTCTTCCTTCTGCTCTCTTCAATATCTTTCAAATGTGGTCTCACCTTCATGTGGTGCCCAGCCTGCGTCTGACTGAGGTTTGAAATACTGGCCATTATAGGTGAGTGTTGTTGCATCCTCGTCATCAATTTCTTCAACAGTGACCCAATGAATTTTGCCAGGAGTAGGGTTTTGGTCTGTATCGGAAGATCTGCTGAAGTTGAGGAATCTTGACTATAGGTGAAAACACTAAAACTAAGGGGTTCTACAGCAAGACCAGGATATGAGAATAAGACTTGACCCCAAAGGACAACTACTGAGAGAAGTTCCTCATTAATAAAAGGGAGGGAGACTCTGTCAGCTAGATGGGTGACAACCAGCGTGCGAAAGCACAAGAAGATGACACACGTGAAGGCATGTGTGAGGCATGCATGAATGAGTGATGCGAGAGATGCATGCATATGCAGAAGCATGTTACGAATGATAAGGGAAGAGCTTTCAAGTAAGGTTGTAGCATGAGCGATAGTTGATAGAGAAACAAGGTCTGCTTTCAAGTACTTAGGTGTACTATACACTTTTGCAGTAGATGGATATATGGGGGGGGGGGGGGGGTCCATACCAGAACCAAAAGAACCCTCTCTCTATTTAAGAAGGGAGATTACGGTATGTGGCGTGCTTCTGAGTGCAGTCCCAAACTGAGTAACCATATCAACTCTAAATATATTCTAAGTTCAAATAGACTCTCTGTATGTAAGCACGGAGGTCAGACTGAAGGTTCATTAATTCAAAGAAAGAGATAAGAATAATGCACCAGTAAATCAGTGAGGACATGGGACAGATGGACGAATGGTAAGAGCGCGAAAGCCTAAAGGGATGCATGTGAAAGGCATGAGTGCATGCAAGATGCGCAAGTGAGGCGCATACATAGGGCATGCGTGAGAGCACGAATGACTGGTCCTTCGGATAAGAGGTGGTACATGTAAGGAATTAAGTGGGTAATAAGGCTATATATCTGGCATTGAGAGGTGCAAGTCTCTACACTGTGCTGGTGAACATGACCTGGGGCTGCCATGTATTCATGAGAGAAGTTGACATCTGGTGAGTCTGAGTTTGCTGCATCTGCTTCTTCAATCAATAATGTCCACTGCCTTCAGCATTCAGGATGCCCCACAATGTGTCTCTTGACACCCTCGCCCGTAGCTATTACCTTCCTGCAAAACATACATTGAGGCATTACAGGTTCATTGATCGTTGTTGCCAACTTGGCCAATCACTTTCTAATACCCATTTTTCCTGCACATAGCGACCAACTTCAAATACCAAAACTTCTGACAGGACTGCCATCATGGACGTAGTTCATAATGACCTTTCTTTGGTAGAATTTGATCGCAGATGCAGTTCATGATGGTGTGCCACCTTTCATGCCTGTCCAACTTCCTTGACCACTTCCTTTTGACCACTTCCTTTGACCATCTTGTCTCATCTATGGTGCATGTCACTTAGCCACCACTACCCTTGAACAGTGGCCAAATCGGTCTGAGAAAATTTCAACCCTAACCCTATGTAGTTCTGTGCGTGCAACTCCAACGGATGCTTCAATATTAGTTTGAAACATGTAGCGCTACAGTAGACAATGACAATTTATTGTGCAGATGTTGTTTTTACCAGTCTCTGATGCCCAAGAACCACAGGAAGGTAGCAATGCACATGCCCTTAGCAATGCAGTCTGTGCAGCTCAGTATCATTTGACTGTGGGAACATCGCATGCACTGCTGGATGGAGGCATATCAGACAGGTCTGAGCACAAAGGATGCCCAGTTTTAGGTTAAGCAATTCAGCTCTACAAAGTACAAGTCTCACAGACGTATTCTGGAGACATTGGCTTGCATTTTTGATTGATGGGGAGTCATAGTACTTTAGGTGGCCAAATCATCCCTTTTTTAAAAAAAAAACTCGCTCAGATTTGATTCAATCAATAATTCCTCTTATAGCTTTACTCTACTCATCGAAGGGGTCATTTTTACAAGAGGAAATAAAAATCTGATTTTTTTTCAAGGGGGTGAGAACATTGTTCAAAAGTAGTGGTGGCTAAGTGACACGCACCATATTCCTCCCTTTCACATGATATTCATTGTTTCCGATGGTTTCTCTCATCTTCTTTTCTCTTTTCTATCGTCTCATCTACTCCTCCCTTTCACATGTTGTTTATCATTTCTGATGATTTCTCTTTGCTGGCTATTCCTCCCTTCGCAAATGTAGAGTTCACATATCACGTTGTAGAGACTGACATCTCTGTGGCCTCGTAGAGGTCTATTTTCTGATGCATGTAGACATGCTAATCATTACCCAAATCATTCCTATTGTATCCGACTTAATATGTATCAAACCCAAAAATCATCAGACATTGGACATTGGATTATTGGACATTGCATCGGGTTTTGCATCGTGTTTTGCATTGGACATCGGACATCGCATCGGTTTTTGCATTGGACTATCAGATATTGTGCAGACTCATCCCACCTATGTCCAGCCTCATTGTGCTAGCCTCACTAGGTGTGTAGTTACTTGTTTTCACATCCCTAACATTTCGGACCACATTATTACATGTATTCCCATAGTCCGCAGTACATCATGTCTTATTACGTAGGACATCGGATCCGAAATATTGCACTACTACCTTCACCTATAGGGTTCCGTTGTAGAGACTTGTGTGTCTCATGGTGTGATATGACAAGTTTTCACTAAGGAGTACATAGCACGAACTTGTAGTGTCACTCCATGTGCTACCCGCAGCTATCCCTATACAAGGCGCAACTTTCCCGCGCAATGCGCACCATTCCCGCGCTTCATGATGTATACGCGCGCGCGCATTCCCGTGCTTGAGCACCCTATAGCGCCAGCCATCCAGATGCATCCATCCACTGTCCACCATATTCTCTAGTGCGTATATTTCTATTTCTCTCATCTGCATATTGTTCCATCTTTATTTTTATCATGGACTCTCACCCATATATATCTTACATACCTACTCGGTAGCGCTTCGGCTCCACATGACCGCGCTTAGGCGCGCTATATAAGCGCCAGCAGTACATACTATTACTTACTTTTCAACTAACTTTCCATTTTTTACCACTTACCTTACCTTACTTTACTTTCCACCCACTATCTGCCTAGAAGAACATAGTAGAAATCTATTTGTCTGCACTTTGCACCTCTCTTCACTTGTCTTACATCATATCCTCACTTAAGCTTACTCTTTCTCATTTCCGCACGCATGCGCGCTTTCCCACGCCTTTGTATCTTGCGCGCACCTGCGCTTTCTCACACTTCGCTTCAGCGCATACCTCTAGATCTTTGCTGCACTTGCTTCCCCTTAAGGGTCGAACGTGCTTGCCACCTCAAGCATAGCAGACTAGGCAAATGCACAACCTTCAACATTTATAGATACAGTCTGGAGCTTCATTTGTTCCTCTCTGTATTGTTGTTTCTACACCGTATTTCTACGTATCTACATATATATTGGACTCCCCATAGCATCATCATCATCTGAGTAGAGGAGAGCTGTTCTCTGACGCTTAGGGGTCAAACCTGATATTTTGTAGTTCTTAGTTGACATTGTGAATATCATCGTTCCTTCATTGTCTGTATCTATCATTGTTATTATTGCGCACACTGCTCGCTTTTCCAACGCTCACTATAGTGTTACTATTAGTTTCCAATAACCCGAACCTGAACCCGACGAACCTGAAACCCGAAAACATTGGACCTGATGCTTTTTGCATCGGACATTGTAATTATACCTCCAGACATTGTTTCCTGCACTTGGACTATTGACCTCACATCATTCACTGACCCCCAGAACTATTCCCAGACCGCAGACCCCTGGGTCAAACGCACTTGTCTCACCAAGTATAGCAGACTAGGTGGTGCAAAACCACAACATAAAGATATCAGTTTGGAGCCATCTTTGTATAGCCCCACTTTGTGTTGTATTCCTACAGTGTGTCTTCTTTTGCTGGCTATTCCTCCCTTTGAAAATGTAGAATTCATGTATCGCATGTCTTCTCTTATCCTCATTTTTCTTTTCTCTTGTCTATTGGTCATTTTTCTTCTCATTCCGAATATCTCATTGACCTTGATTACCATTAATATCATCTCCATTCATCCCTGAGTGACTACTGACATAACTAACTAACTAAACTAAGGTGATAATACCATGAGATGCAAGGAGGAATTCCAATAGTTGAACTTTGCGTGCCTCTTGGCACTGCTGCTTCTCTACATGCTAGCACCCGACTATCAACTCTCACGCATATGTTTGGTGAGTAACAGGCCCTTGTATGTGTTCAGAGAGCTGCACTTTGCACGCCTCATAGCAATGTCTAATCTCTGCATCCAACATTCCAAGACAAGGGTTCGCAGGTAAGTCTGAGACATAGTTATGGGTCCTGGTGTCTGATGATATTGTTGCAAAGGATAATAATGCTCAGGAGCATGTGGAGCCTCTCTAACCCATCCTGGAGCTGGGAGAGCCTCTCTAGCCTATCCTAGAGCAGTGATCACATGAAAGTGTTAACTTGGAGGCCTACTGGATGGTGAGTGTGTGTCATGGCAGTTCTCAGAGTAACCCACTGTTGGCTGACTGCAAGATCCTTTTCATTCAGTTTGCTGAATAGTGAGAAGACTGCGCTGCCACATTGGTCAATGTGTGGCGTGTCTCAGACAAGCCTGTCACTTGCTATCTGGGTATTTTGGTGAGATTGGTAGTATCTGCCATAAGTGTTAGAAGTCATATTTTTTTTTGCTCATTTTATACCATTCTGTTGATATTGTTTGGTCAGATTGAAACTTTAACTTTGAAATCAACAGAACTCAAAGTGGTCTGTTGATCAGACACTACAGCAAGGGTATTTAAAGGCAAATTGTTCTTCTTTTTTGACTACAGACTAACCTGAATCATGGCAGGAAAACTTGCCTCTCAATGGGTTCTCAAAAGCAAAAGGCAATCTTGCAGGCCCAGGAGGACCTATGCGCACAGATTGAATCCACAGCCAGACACACTGCAAGTGGTCATTAGCACTGGCCAACTGAAAAAGAGACATATTGAAGTAAGTAATTTTGTGTTGTTGCTCAATGTGTGTTTGCTTACGTCTACTTAACAGTTTCAAAATCTCATCGAGGACATGACCACAAACTAGTTGAGGAAATCAAGAAGGAGAAACATAACATAAAGGCGCTGCGGATGAAATATCATACAAATCCTGAAGTCTTACCTGCCGAGCTCCTGAGTGAGATTGACAGAGACGAAGATATTATGGTCAGCATTTTATTATTCATATATTCAAGTGCTCACAACTATATAATAGTTTTCACATTGAAGTATACCTGCAAAGGTGCAGGTGCTCACATTCAGTACAGGTAAAACACCTCCAACTGTCTTGCAACCAATGGAAATGAGTAAGATCATGGCTAAGTCAAAGAAAGGTTAGCAATCTTGGCAGGGTGTTCTTTGACTAACTAACTTTGCATAGATTCTGCTCCAGTGGTCTCATCCAGCAATGATAGCAGCACTGACAGCAGCACTGACAGCAGGATCAACAACAGCAGCAGCAGCACTTGATGACGATAATGAAGTGGTCAGTGCAACTTCTGAACAGTTTGTCAGGTCCAAATGCCTGCAGGAGGACATCGATGAAGAAACTATTCTAAAGATCATTAAAGATTCAAAAGGAGCATGCTGGCAATTAAGGGCCAGGGATTTCAATGACATCACAAAAATGTACTCACCACAGTGACATCTATTTACTGCTGTCTAGTTGTAACTCAGAGACCTTTTCCTGAGACACTCATTGTCAAGACCCAGCTAGCAAAGCATGTGTGGTGTGATACATCTGATGCAGCAGGACTTGCTATTCAACTAATGCCTTCATTGGTTAAAATGGTAAGCAGTCAGCATGTTATTTTCATGTCCTGATCCTGGTTGATTGTGTAGATGGCAAGGCAGACCTCACACGTGTGTGGGGAAACCAAAATGTGTGGTCTCACAGCCTTGTTTTTTGGCTTCCATGTAAGCCGATCTATAGTGGCCATTAGGGGAAACTGTGACTTGGCCGAGACACTCAAGGAAGGGTCATCCTTTGTGTTTAAGGTAGGTCAGCTTCACCACTGTTAATTGTTATCTGACTGGCTGAATAAAAGGATTAGGAGAAGAAATCTGGCATATACAAATCTGATTTAATCCAGGCAGGGATAAATGACATGTGGTTCATGAACCACATTGATGAAGGTATAATCTATGCTGAATACTTTGACCCTTTTCTGGTAAAGATGTTGGCACTCGTACTCACAGTAGTTAGTGTCTTCAAGCTGTCCAAGATAATTTCCTCAATGTTGCTCGGTTAGTACTTGCCTGAATCATGACCCTTACTGACATTGATCCAAAGGTTCCATGCTAGTATCAATCTGCCTAAGGTAGCAGTGACCGTCAAAGGCTTCACAGATGACATATTTGATGATACAATCCAAGAGTACAAAGTGGAGACTTGGGCAAAGGAGCGTGGGGAAGGTGTATAGGTTGGTGACGATTGGCACTTTATGAGGCCACTGGATTTCATGAGTGTATACATTGTGTACCTTGAATATATTCGATTACATTGTTTTCTGATTCTAGAGTGATTGGTATTAATGGCTATAGTAGGAGTGCATAGCTACCTATAGTACCTGTAGCTGTTTACTACAGGAGTTCCGGTAGTGCTATATAGCTAGACATGTGACTGTGTAGTTGTATATAGTATATACTTGACACAATGAGCTACAGTAACTACAGTAATTATATAGCTCGGTGTAGTCAAAGGTTTTTTTCCTGATGTAGATGTTGCAATAGAGTCAAAATCTGTTTCTTTCAATCTATGTAGATTCAAAACCTGCTTGCAAAATCTTTTGTAGTGTATAGATTCTCAGAGACCCAAGTGCAAGCAAATAGAGACAGTGATACATTTTGGAGTATTCATCAAAGTGATATAATTTATATCTGTTTTATCTTTTTCAATGCACCCAAGGTGTGACTACTTTGTGCTAGTTTTGCAGGAGAATGTGGTGAGAATGCTTCTCTTGCATCTATACATTGTGGTCTGTAGCTGGGAGTATTCTTCAGCATGACACAAAAATAAAATAATGAAAATATATTAGCAGTATTGGATTGGACAATAGATGGACATGTCATGTAGGGCATGCACAAAAATACAGTGCTTGGTATGGGACAGGATGTGATTTTATAAAATAAAAATGTTATTATTGGCAGGTTTTAAACCTACTCAGTCCAAGAGTAGCCAGATTTTGACTCTGATGATCACTTGCAATTTCATCTTTGACAGGTTTTAAACCTGCACAGACAGATTTGGATTCTGTTATATTAACTGCTTGGCTAAGGCCAGTTATATGTGCTCCCAATGAATTCATTCAGAAGTGAATCTTCAAGGTACACTTATCCTGCATTTTGTCAGTTCTAACATTAATTTCTAACATACCCCTAGAGCCCAACCATATGTGATCCTTCTGTTGTCAGTTATCACTTATGACCTGGTTATTAATCCCAAGACATCACGGACATCATTGGCCCACCATGATGGTCTGCCATCAGCACTTTTTTGAAGCAATTGCTAGATATTCAGGTCTTGAAATATAGGCCTAGGAGAAGTCTGATGTCTTTTGTAATAAGAGTAGAATAAGAGAATCAATGGCAGTGACCATATTATTGAAAGAACTGACAAAATGCAGATAAATATACCTTGATGATTCACTTGTGAATGGGTTCATTGGAGATGCATCTAACAGTTCTTAGTCAAGCAGTTGATACAACAGAATTTAAATCTGTCTGTGTAGGCTCAAAACCTGTCAAAGATGAAATTGTCAAGTAATTACCAGAGTCAAAGTCTGTTTCTTTTGAGCCATGCAGGTTTGAAACCTGCCAGTTGCAACATTTGTTTTCTATAAAACACACCTTGACATTGTCTCATGAATGGTTTTCTCAAAAACTCAACTTGACTGATGTTAGCCATGTCATTGCCACAATAGATTCAAAATCTATCAAGTAACTCATTTTTCTATTAGAACATGTCTTGACTATCAGCTCATAGACAGCATCTCAAACATTGATCTTCATCAGTCTTAGTCAAGTTGTCACCAGAGTTAAAATCTGTTTCTCTTGAACTGTAACTGTGTAGGTTTGAAACCTACCAATAATAACATTTTTATTTTTATTCTATGAAATCACACCTTCACATTTTCATGCAAATGTATAGCAAGAAAACACTGATGATCTCAAGCTTGGTTGACATTGCTGTTAGTTTCATGCATCCTTTTTTGCTACAAAAAAACTTACCAGAGGTGAATGTGAGTATTTTTGACACAGAGTTCAATATATGCCTAATGATATATCCCATATATCCACACTTCTCTTCTGGACCTCATACCCTAGATTTGATCTGATGTAAAGATCTGCTTCCAATCCAATATATGATAAGCTTCTTTATTCATTTCCTGTTCATATAACATTAACACAGCCTATTCCTCTATTTGGTATTCCTTGTCCCCAGTATCTCAATCATACTTACTTCTGACTATGCTTACTGATCTGTTAACCTATGCTTCATTTCTGACTTGTGTTTGATAGACTTTGCTTATGTTTCATACATAGCCTCGGACCCTTGCTTACTGATTGTTCTGTTATTCACTTGGTATATACACTCTTATATATGTCCTGTAGTACCTCAGTTCAAATATCAACTTAGTTTGTCCTCTTTCCATCCTCTGGACTTGAGTCTAAATAAATCTTGTCATTCTCTAAGACTTAGGATTGATTCCTATAGTCTATATCTCCGACTCTATCTTCAGATAGTCTATCTTCTGTTTGTTTCTAGTTCAGACTTGTCCAGATTAGCCTTATACACATTTCCGATATCTGGAAGTCTTCCGGATAATCTACAATACTTGTCTGATCATCCAGATGTGTTATCCTCAGTCTCCAAAATAAGGGACAGTACTTGGGAAAGGGGCACAGTGTACGACCAAAATCTCAATGCAAACTCAGAAGGATAAGTATAAGAACAATCTAATTCTTTCTGAAGGTCTTGACTTGGTAGAAGAAGAAGAAGAAGAATAAGAGCAGATCACACATCAAACTTTCAAGTTTGATCCTAATGATCCAGGAAATGAGGAAAAATACAAATCTATCAAGGCTGAGATTGCACCTTGATACACTTCTGAATGGGTTCATTGGAAGTGTATTGAACTAGTCTTAGCCAAGTAATTAATACAACAGAATCTAAATCTGCCTGTATGGGTTCAAAACCTACTAAAGATGAAATTATTAAGTAATCACCAGAGTCAAAATCTGTTTCTCTTGCACTGTGCAGGTTTGAAACCTGTTGATGATAAATTTTACTTTCTCATAAGTGGTTTTCTGAGAAACTCATCTCAAATGATCTTAGCTATATCATTGCCATGACTCTGGTCTGCATGCTTTTTGAACTCTATACACTGAAGGTTTGTCTTTGTTGATTGTATAGTGGCTCAAAAAAATGTCCCAATGTTTGTAGGTTTTCATGTAATTGTGTTATTGCGAGCCAGGGTGTGAGAATCTGACTAAGTCAAAGGGAGGTCCCAAAAAGCTCCGCTTCTTGGCTACAATTATGTCCCCTATAGCGTGAGAATCCATTGACGCCGTGCGAAGATATGGCTATTTTAATTAGGTGACTCATTGAGACACTTTTTTGAGTTTCTATTAAAATATGAAAATCAGATCATTTAGACATGACACCATTTACAAATATATATATAAATGGTCCCATATTGACAATATGGTCTCATTTTAATATCCTGTACATATATAAACCCTTCCAATAACATCATGTCCCTCATAATCAGCATGAAGTCTATTTCCTCTTCTCAAAGAGATAATATATTTTTTCTCTCCACCTCTGGTCTATCTATCAGGCAGATTGCCTCCAAAACTGGTCTGGGGAAGTCAACTATTGCCAGGGTTATCAACCAGAATATTCCCAACAAAGAAAATGTCAAAATGGGTCGTCCTTCTAAACTTACTCTGCATGACAAAAGAGCTCTTGTTCATCATATTATATCTGGAAAGGCCTCTACTGCTGTTCAAGCCATAAAATACATCAATTCCATCATCACTACCACTGTCTCCACTCAAACAGTCAGGAACACCCTCAAGGAAGCCAATCTTAAAGCTGTAGTCAAGAAGAAGAAACCCCTACTGTCACCAGCCCATAGGAAAAGGAGACTAGCATTTGCTTTAAAGCACCAGCACTGGACTATAGAGGACTGGAAGAGAGTTATTTGGTCAGATGAAACTAAAATCAATAGGATAGGGTCAGATGGTCAAGAGTATGTTGGAAAAAGGCAGGAGATCCACTTGGAGAAAAAGAAGTGAAAGGTACTCTTAAGTTTGGAGGAGGAAATATGATGGTGTGGGGCTGCATGGGGTGGCATGGGGTGGAAATTCTATGTGAGGTGGAGGGGAGGATGAATGCAGAGCAGTATGTCTCTATTCTGGAGGAGTGTCTGCTCAAAAGCATGCAAGAATCAGGTATTGATGAAGAAGACATTATCTTCCAATAAGATAATGACCCCAAGCATACCTCAAAGTTGGCCATCAAATGGTTTGAGGACCATGATATTACTGTCCTATCATGGCCAGCACAGTCTCCAGACCTCAATCTCATTGAACATCTTTGGGAATTACTCAAGAGAATGCTTGCTGCCTATCAAGACCCACCTAATGGACTATTTCAGTTATGGAAGAGAGTTGTAGTAGAGTGGGGAAAGATTGCTAAGGAGGAGTGTCAGAAATTGATAGAAAGTATGCCTAGGAGGGTAGCAGCAGTCATTAAAGCTAAGGGAGGAAACACTAAGTACTAGAATTATAGAGATTATGTATAATTGATTCAAACTCAAAAAAGTGTCCCAATGAGTCACCTAATTAAAATAGCCATATCTTCGCACGGCGTCAATTGATTCTCACGCTATAGGGGACATAATTGTAGCCAAGAAGCGGAGCTTTTTGGGACCTCCCTTTGACTTAGTCAGATTCTCACACCCTGGCTCGCAATAACACAATTACATGAAAACCTACAAACATTGGGACACTTTTTTGAGCCACTGTAAATCCCTCCAAGTATTAGCTGCTTCTTTTGAACTCATAGTTATTGCATCAAAACCAGCCCATATTTCTTCCTCTTTGAAATACATCTTGAACATTCACTTATAGACAATGTTTCAAAGACTTATCTTCAATGGCTTTAGCCAAGTGATCATCAGAGTCAAATCTGTTTCTATTGCATCATGCAAATTTAAATCCTCCTAATTGCAATATGATCCCTTTGTGTATGGAGGCAACCATGACATGTCACATGGCCTTGGTTGCATTGCTAATTCACTCACTGGTCACACATCATAAGGGGTTAGTTGCTAGTCAAAAGTATGTCACAAAATCAAGATTTTGAAAAAAGTTTCTACAAGCTCCATCTACTATGAGGCATTGATCTGGCAGCACACCTCACATGTTATTATATGCATATCTGTGTAGCAGCTCATAGTGAGTCTTATTACATTTTGGATAGCTTATCTTGCTACTAGTTTTGCCTATGCAATTTTCGCATCTTGATATCTTTAAGTTCTTTTGATAGGCTTTGCATAGTCATACTTTGTTACCCTCACAAGTCTTATACTTAGACATACCTTAACATATCTGCCATATTCTCCCCTAAAAACTTTGCTGTTTCATTAGAAGCTCTTCAGATGCTTTGTACAACCTCAGATCTTCATTTCTCAACTTCAGACCACTTCACTCATATTGGACAAGTACTTTGGTACTTCAGACATATCCTTGGAACCTCAAATGCACTTTGGGTAACTTTTTCCTCTCTCATCCCCCATCTTGACAGACCTCCCTTGCACTTATATTTTAAGAGGTAGTTCTACAGGCAGTCTCTTTGGGATGACTTGCACTTGCACTCTGAGTTCTGAGGTGATCACTTTCTAAGTGCCCACACAGGATCTACTCTTTACAGCGGCTCACCTCAAGTCTTATTACATTTTAGATAGCTTATCTCACTACTACTTTCGCCTATGCAATTCCAGACATTCATGCTGTAGGATATAATCTGACTCACTAGCTACTCACACTTCACTTTACATCCCTTATTATGAGTCATAGTTAGTGGAGTCACCTTCGGATAGTTGTACTTCGTGCAATCAATCTTTTTGTTCATTCAGAATGATTATTTGGCCTGACCACTGCCATTTTCACATCTTGCTATCTTAGAGTTCTTTCAATAGGCTTTGCATAGTTGTACTTCAGTACTCTCACAAGTCTTACACTTAGATGTACTTTAACATACCTGCCACATTTCTCTCCTGAAAATCTCACTGTTTCATCAGATGCTTTATAGATGCTTTATGCAACCTTGGACCTTTGTTTCTTGACTTTGAACCACCTTCACTTGTATTGGACAAGTACTTCAGTACTTCAGACACATCATTGGAACTTCAGACACACCTTGGGTGATTTTTCCTTTTCTCACCTTCAATCTTAACAAGACATCTCTTGCATTTTATATCAAGAGATAGTTCTACAGGCAGTCTATTTGGATTAAACTACACTCATACCTTTGAGTTCTAAGGTAATGTAATAGCTTTTGTAGTGCCTACACAGGATCAACTCTTTACACTGTCAATAGACAGACTGGTAAATCTGGGTTTGAATTTGGATGTCAAGCAGATTCTCACAGTAACTGTCATATCCTGTGTCCTGGACCCAGACCTATCACACAAATCATTTCTGGATTTCGGGATCTGGCCAACTTCTATCTTCCGTATCTGTTCCCTTCTCAGTTAGCTTCTGTCTCTGGACATCCGGTTATATGTATGACCGGTTGTACTTAATTTCCATCTCTCTTTCATTTCTGTCTTCATTTAATTAACTTCTGATAGACTAGTGTTAGGCTCTGTCCATAGCCTCGTACTGTGCTGACTGATTCTCCATTAAGTCCTCAGTAATATATAAACCCTGTAGATTCTATGTAGTTCTTTAGTTCAAATATTATCTTAGACTCTGCTCATTCCCTCCTCTGTCCAACTTGAGTTTCTCCTCTCATTGTCCTCCATTAGTCTTAGGATTGACTCCTATAGACTTCTCACCTCCACCTCTACCTTTGGTAGTCCTCCGCTGTTTCCTTTCTAATTTGGACATCATCCAGATTAGTCTTATCACCCATTCCCTAATGTCTGCCGGAATTCCTGCACATCGGACATCAGACTCCGGGCATCATCCAACAACCTTCAGACATCATTCAACAGCCTTCAGAAGTTAGGGGCATGTACTTGGGTAAGGGGTGCAGCGCATGAGCTGAAGCCAAGTCCTTCGTATTTGACCCTTGAGCACATTCTTAACAGTAACATGATGCCTGGCCAATGAGAAAACAAGTGCTTTTTGACAAATGCAAAATAAATGATATAATTCTCTTATTATTAATATGATTTCACAATGCTTCTCTTGATGCACTGGATTGTGTCGCAAATTTCCTAAATCGATTGTAATCAGGAACCATTGACATCGTGTTACAATGATGTTTACAACCCTCATGTAAGCTTGATGGCGGGGTCTCAATCTATTACAATGTGCTTACAACATGATTGATATGGCTTCAATCCCCCCTTACCGCCATTCTTAAGTGCTTCCCTCTTGTTTCTGTTGAAATTCATATACATTACATATCTGTTGGTGACATGGGTCCTGAAAGGACGAAATTCTGCGATCTATGCCAGCAGGACCTCAAGCCGTGCAGTTGGACCACCCATCACAAGGCCTATGAGAAGAAGGCTGAGAAACAGCGCCAGAATCAAATCATGGTGGAATCCATTCAAAGGCAAAATTTAGGTGTAGCAGCAGGTACGCACTCATTTTTATCTTGGTCTGTTAACTATTTAAATTGGCTGACACGTCCAGGTTCCTCAAATCTGAGATGTGTGAGGGATGAACACGTTGTTAATGCTGCAGGAAAGAGACGTAAGTCTCATTGGATCCTTTATGTTTTACTGTTGTTATGTCACAACAGGAGAGTGTGAAGCCTGGAATGAGATAGACAATGACACAGGGCACATTGGTATGTTTGTGATCGTCATATTGTAACATATTTACATTCACAAACTACCCTTAACAGATTTTCCTGACGCAGATGTCCCTGAGCATGTGGAACCCACTTTCGAGGTTGACAACATCATGTGCGAATACCATCCAAGCAGTAAGATCCCACCCGAAGTCCATGCATTTTATGATTTCAAATGCCATTCAACACCACTTGCATCCTCTGCCCTGCCTAACATTCGCTGAGCTTGCGCTGGAGGCTTGCTTGAATAACGAGCAGACTGATCGTCTCATCAAACTTTGCAACCGGTGCACTTCCCGCCAAGAGAAGTTCACATTTCAGACACACAAGGACATTCGCGACAGGTGGGACACTGCTTCCTATTGCATTACAGGGGTTGTTTCCATCTTTCTTTCTAATGTTCAGCTTCTGATGATCCTTAAGTTGTTTACTAAAGACGTGATCTCGGCACCATATGATGGTATGATACAAGAGTTTGATTTGCATTATAAGAATCTCTGGGAGTGGGCTATCGACCTCCTTCATGATCCTTGGCTCTTTCTGCACATGGTATTTGATGCGCAACGATTCTCAAAGTTCAATGGCAAGGAATTCATAAATTTTGTAGATGAATCATACACTGCTGAAGCTTTTTGGAATATTCAAGTATGTAACACTGCTGTAGCGATTTTAGTTGCCTTCATTATTTGATCTATTATTTTGTTTCATAGTCTCAGCTACCAGATGGTGCCAAGCTGCTAGGTTTCATTCTCTATGCCGATAAGACTAAGTTGTCCTCATTCGGCACCGCAAGAGGTTACCCTGTTGTTGCTCGTCTCGCAAATCTGCCTACCAAAATTTGCAATAGTCAGGGTATAGGTGGTGGCTATGTCGTCGGATGGCTTCCAATTGTATGGAATGCATTTTCATTTAGTGGTTGACACTGATTCTATTTTGAATACTTTTTCTAGGTGAAGGAAGAGAAAGACCATGCTGGTAAACCAAGCTGAGTCAATTTCAAGAATGCAGTTTGGCATGAAGCATTCTTGAAGATTCTCTCTCTGTTAGCATTGAGATCTAGCATGGGACAATGGTTTGAATGTCTCAATGACCTTCAACACTGGTTCTTTCCTCTGATATTAATTTTATCGGCCAATTATGAAGAACAGTGAGTGTATTTGATTCAAAACATGTACATGTTACTAATAAGTTACTTGTATTCAATATTAGATGTGTTATGTTGCTAACTCAAAGGATCAAATTGTTGTGGCCATGCCCAGTTTGTCTCGTTCCCCACAACAAGCTTTTAAATACTTTGAAGATGTATCCTTGTCAAATTTCCGGTCAGTCACAGAACATCTTGAAGGTTGCACGGGACAAGGAGACCACTGAAGAGAGAGAGAACATGCTCAAACAATATGGACTTCGTGATGTCTCAGTGAGATAACTTCCACTATCTGATATATCGATGTTTTCTACTAATTTAACACAACCATTTTATTAGAACGCCTTTTGGACTGTCATGTTCATGTGTGTACATAATGCACTCTCGTGGGATAGGCTCCATTTTAACAGGGGCCTGTACCGCGATCATCTGTGGGCTGTACTGCAAAAAATAATCACTGGTTTGGGGAGAGCAAGTGTAGCTAAGATGGACAACAAGTAAGTGGTCATCTCTAATTGAAATGTCTATGTTTTCATTTTGATGCTAGTTACGAGGCATTTCCATGGTGGCGAAATCTGAAGCATTTAGCGCAAGTTATGAGCATTTCATTCAGTGATAGTAGCGTGTATGAAGATATTTCCAAGGTATGTTTCTTATATTTGTATATCCTTATTAGTAACTTGCGTTTAGATGGTGATATATGCTGCACATACCATCATCACTGAGGATGAGTGTCCACTTGGCTACCACTTACTTCATTGCATCCACCTCTTTATTGAAGTCGATATGTATTCAGCGCTTGAGGTTCACACAACCGACACTATCCATGCAGGCCAACACGCTGTGAAAGTGTTCTCAATGTATCTACAGGTACATTTTCTTGATTGATCCTCAAAAATTGTTCATTAATAGAATAATAGCAATATATAACAAAAACGGCCGACAACAGTGACAAGAACTGGAACTTTCCAAAATTGCACATGAGTGTGCATATCTTCGATGATATCGAAGCCAAAGGAGCAACCCACAACTACAACACAAAGCCGAATGAGAAGATGCATGGGTCACTGAAAGACTCATATTTGATGCATATTAACTTCAGGGATGTCGCACCACAGGTAAGACTTGATTCTATCAATTATTCAATAATTTCATGCTACAATATTTACAGATTCTTCGCATCAATCATTGACAAGTCGTAGCTGAGAATATTTGCCACAACATATCCGACTTCGATGAGTATCAGTTACAAGACATCGAAGATGCACTGGACGAAGACAATTTTGTGGTGGATGATTTGGTTGTTTTGAACGACTCCCCTCATGTAAAGCTTGGGTCCAGACAAGCTCCACAGACCTTTGAATCTGCCGAGAACACTCACAAGGATGATGGCGCATTTACTAACTTTCATATCAAGCTCAATGACTTTTTGACTAACTTTTTATTAGTGATTCAAGTCCCTCTATCAGGTGGAAAGTGGGTCCAACTCAAAGCAAGCGATAAGGTATGATCATTGTTCAGTTTGGCTGTGTTCTACTATATTGATATGGAGGGATAGATTACTGAGTGCTGGTTCTTGAAAGTCAACTATGAGTCATTGGTAGATTGTTGCCAACACACTGACTACCTTCGATGCAACCCCAAATTCTTTGAGGCTCCATGCTTTGATTGTGTGTTCATCCAGACGACCGACAAGATCATATTTGGTCGCCTGCTCTTCATTTTTGAATGCACAGTGGAGGATACAGTCTTTTCTCTCACTCTTATTCACTCATTTGATGCTCCCACTGGCGTGCACATCCGAAAGGACAAGCATCTCAACATCTTTCGTGTTCGAGCGAGACTCCGTGCACAGGCTGAGTTTTTTCAATAAGGTCGATCATCCACGGAGCTTTCCTAGTGCCAGATGGTAGCCACAACTACCTTGTCATTGACACTGTTGATACCGACATGTTTCTTCGCATAAAGGTGCTGCACCTTGAGGCAGGGCATCTTATACGTGTTTGATTTCACATCATGTCCTCCTCCCCTTATAACTGGTATATGGGCTTGCTATTATCTTCACTCATGATATCTCAGTCTTACTAATGGTCGACTGGGAGCAGGATTTCCATAGACCTGCACCTCCTCCATTCTAACTACCACTGTAACCATATTATACCTGCACTTTCAACACCGGTCTTCCTGTCAATGATTCAGTACAGTCTGTCCTGCATTTATTTAAGTACACAAAGGTCAGTATTCAGACTGCTACTCTCACTGTTCTCAAGCTGAGTAATGTTCATGCACTGAACCTCCACACAGATTCCCCATAGCAGTTGAACGGTTTATTCAAGGGTGTTTTCTCTCATGTTTGTCCACTGGCTGGACCCAGTTAAGGTAGGTTTTGACACAAATCACATCCACACAGCTTTTCTCACAGCGAGTGCAGGAGTATCTCATGAAACCTTGGGTTCACTAACTGGCCTATCCGAACATCATCGGCATTCAAGTTCAGTCATGGCCAACTGGCCAATTATCTGAACATCATCAACATTTAAGTTTGGTCATGGCCAACTGGCCTATTATCCGAACATCATCAGGATTCAAGTTGGATCATGGCCAACTGGCCTATCCAAACATCATTAGCATTCAAGTTGGATCATGGCCAACTGGCCTATCCGAACATCATTGGGATTCAAGTTCATGACCAACTAGCCTATCCGAACATCATCAGGATTCAAGTTGGGTTGTGGCCAACTAGCCTATCCAAACATCATCAGGATTCAAGTTGGATTATGGCCAACTGGCCTATCCAAACATCACCGGCATTCAAGTTCAGACATGTCCGACCAGCGTTCAGTAAGTAGCACATTCATCTTTGCATGTGTTCAATTGATGGATTGTGTCATCGACCAGACCTTCCATGAACCGACAAAGAGTCTATCATCCTGGGGAATTCTCAATTATACAAGGGTCTGTGATCAGACAATCAACTCTGGTTTGTAATGAACTGTTCTGATATGCATGTGAGGTACTAAGGTTCACCAATTTAAAGTTTTTATCTTGCGAGGGAGGCAATCATGCCCACTAATATTATAATCTATCAACATGTGGCCTTCAGTCGTGCCCTTGTTTACGTTCCCCGCAGCAGTTCGCCCTACACCGAATCACTCCAAAGATGTAATAAGATTTGGAGTTACATCTAGTGGCCTCGAGGTACCAGGGAGTGTGTGAAATTATATATAAGGTGTGTCACACCATTTTCTCCTTCTCTGCCTTTCCACTGAACGTCTAACAGTCTGAGAAATGTCTCATCTCTCAGTACAGGTGTTGGACAGTAATTCAGACGACAACTTTGATGAGGGCGACATCGATGAAGTCACGATTCCAGGGCCCAATGCTTCCAAGGGAGAAATCATAGAGGTACTTAGCAACTAACTTTATCTTTCTATGTCATACTCAATATGTTCTCCTCACGCACTCAAAGTCCTGCAACTTCAAGTTCAGCATTTGCACAAAGAAAATTGTGCCCTTAAAGAGAACAACAAGGTCCTCCTTGCTGAGAAGCCCAAACAGAAGCAGCATGTAGAAGCACCTGACAAACTTGTTGCTCATGAGCAGACCATCTCACTGTATGCTCATAAATACAGCATGACAGTGGAGATGTTTCTAGACAATGACCTTATCACCAAGAAGTGCCCAGATTCACCTACATTGTTCAATAGCAACGACCATTACAAGACCACTTTGACCCAAGAATCCGCTTTCTTGGATGAACTATATGCTCATTTCCCAGAACATGTCCATCAAGCCATGCAAAGTGTATACTTCAAGGACCTCTTATGTCACACATTTTGTTCTGTTCTAGTTATCATCTGACATATCCTATAACTGTTGTAGGTCAATAAGTGCATCAGTGATGCTTGTTCTAACAAGATCAAAAAATTATGTGGTGTCACGGGAGATATATTTGACCTTCCAGCGAAATACTTTGCCAATCCCAGTCACAACAGAGCCAGCATCGTCAAAATCCAAAAGATGCTTGGAGTGTCTGGCAAGATGCAGACTTATAAAATATTTCCGCATCTCTTGTTCCCAGGTCTGCAAGAAGACGCGACCCTGAAGACTGTTTTCGGCAATTGGATACTTTTTGCTAAGGTGTGCTATCATTCGCTCACATAGTTCTATCATGTACCCTACTTATTATGGTCTATCTAGATTCTGAGAGCCTTGCTACATGGTGTCACCTTGCTTCATCAAGAACCTTGTGGTGGATTGAAGACTAATGCTCAGAAGTGGAACTTTCAACAAGTCACGCCAGGGTCTATTGCCTGGGCAGCAGTTATGGTATGTTATTTATATTTGCATCAAAAGTCTACTGATTTGCTTTAACACAGGCAATCTTTCTACTCTCACCCGACACGGAGTTTCTGGGTTCAGGAGTGGGGAAATTGTCAACCATTAACTACAGAGACCTGTTCTTTCAATACAAGAAGCTGCTTGTTATGAAGTGGGACATGAGACACATCAAGAACATTGTGACCAGTATCGACAACCACATTTTTGGCACTGCGAAATTGTCTACCTTTCATCTCGCCGGTGGTGAAGACTTTTCAGAAGAAATCAATTGAGCGATGCTTGCACTCGACATGTTGTCAGACAGCAAAGCAGACGAGGCTCCACTGGCCTCATCAGCAATCTCAGCGGTCTCATCAGCAGCACCTGACAGTCAAATCATCATCCAGCATGAAGAACAAGGATCAGTATCTCAAGCTGCTGCTCGTACTAATGTCGAAGTGGTAGCTGGCAATGTAGATGACTTAGAAGCCTGTGATATCGGTTCAGATATAGGCAGGGGTCAAGGGAAGGCAAAGAGGGGGAAGAGGCCAATAGCTGAGGGCGCTCGTCATGGTCGTTCCTGTAAAATGTAGATGATAGTTACTATTAGCGATCCTCACTTGATCAAACATTTTAATGTTTAAATACATGGTATTTGATCTAATATTGACTCTGCGTTTGACTCAGAATCAAGGCAATTCAAATTCAGATGCTTACATAACAATGAAGTTGCAACAAATATTATCAGACAGTTCGCTTTCAGACTTGAGTAATAACAACCATGTTACAGTCAATTCCAATGGACCCTTTTGCACAAACTCTTGCTACCGCTTATTGAGTGGTCCTTTCTTTTTGCTTTACTTAAATTCCCCTCCCTATGAAGCCTGGTATGGCCACCTGCCCCAAGGCTGAGTAGTGGAGCACCACTTCCCCTTCCACCATATCTACACATTTTGACCATGTTTTTTTGCTCACTTTCTATCTAGAATATGTCCTGACCACACCCACTCTCTCACCCGCCTTCGCATTCTCACTCACCATCACATCCTATGCATCCATAACCCTTCAAGTCTGTCGGTACTTTGCCCACCCTTTTCAAATCCTCCCATTCTCACCTGCCTTCACATTCTCACCCGCCCTTTCTCACCCACGCACACGACTCACTGGACGCCACATCACCAATCCTCCTTTGAGCTCAAGCCATGCTGATCCAAGTTGGTGCCCACAGTTTGCAGTTCGTGAGTCCATCAATCCTCCTTCTACTCGAGCCATGCTGATCAAAGTCCTTGTCTGCCGTTCGCAGCATGTTGATCCTCCTTCGAGCTCTTCAAGTCTGTCAGTACTAAATTGCCCGCCCTTTTCTCACCCACCTCCCATTCTCACCCGTCGCCTTTGCATTCTCACCTGCCCTCACATTCTCACCCACCCTTTCTCACCCTGAAACCTCTGGCCGTCCATCTGATTGAGCGCAGTAACCTAGTAAGTAAGTTTTATTATTCATTTTGTGCTTCTCTCCCTGGCCAACATGCCTCTAGGAGGCGACTTGGACCAGAGGTCGTCAGGCTGCGAGGACACGCCTCTAGGAGGTGACTCTGAGCATTTAAGCCTGACGGCTTATAATTATATATATATTGTATCTATTACTATCATGTGTACTAACATATTTTGGCTCTATTCTAGACGGTCCTGATCCCCCAGTTCTCACCCCTCTTGTCAACCAGGTGCTTCTCCCGTCCCATCAACAACCCCACTCATAAGAACAACAACCACAACCACAACCAAAGATTCAGACACCCATTTGGGTCAGTCTACTAGTATTCACAACCTCCAAGAGCCGAGTGCACAGACGGCATGTGATGTGGCACAAACAAGCCAGAATGGAGGGAGAAGGTGGAGAAGGAGTCAGATGATGGAGGTATGGTTCCTTGGAGATGCGGAGGAGCAGGAGTAGAGATATATGGATGACAGCAAGTTATTATTATTATTATTATTATTATTATTATTATTATTATTATTATACAAATTTGTCTGTTAGTATCGGAATATCAAAATGACAAATAAAACATTACAATCTACAACCTGCTATTTAACATTGCAACCATCTGTTGCAGCTCATTACAATGACTAAGATTGATTGCCATACATTGCAATGGCAATTGCCGTCACAATTGCAACCATCATTACAATTGGATTACAAATGCGACTCTGCTATTGTAAGCACTTTCAATTTATGTTTGGTCTTTGAATGTTGAATTGCCTTAAAAGGTACTGAAACCCAAATTAGAAATTTGGGACATAGTTTGTGCATGATTTAATCAAAGAACAACTCCCCAAACATCTGAGCATGTCCTTGTGAGTCTGTAAACATGCAGTCAAGCAATTGTTCCAGCTTTCCTGTAGAGTTTCCCTTCTCCTGCATAGAGCAGTTGTGTATGTGATCACCATTGAAGGTGAATTCAATCTCTGAAACTTTGAGGATTGATAGCATAAAGTCAAGAGTTGATATATGACCTTCTTGTAAGATCTTGAGAACAGACTTGATATGTTTGTGTGGTGAGAGTCTGGGAGAAATTGGAACAGCCTCAGAGGTATGTGGTGCTGTGATATCAATGAAGCCAGAGTCCAACAAACAGTTGAAATCACTATCCAGAATGATCAAAGAGTCTCACATAATGTTGCAAGCAGTGATAGACTGAAGACAGTAATAGAAATAGCAATAATTAGTAGAAATAAGTTACATGGGTGATGGAACATCCATTGAATGATGCTGCCTGGCAGCTAACACACTTGAATGTTCTGTTGTCAAAGTTGATCACAGACAGTGACTCTTTGCAAGGGCTTAGCAAAAAGCTCATGTGGTTTTGTTATGCCCAAAAAGGCTTATGCATTGGAGTAGTACTAGGTGTCTCAACTATACTCTAGTATGTGGTTGTGTGTCTATGCTCACACTTGCTGTGCTCTCTATGTTCATTCTAGATGACTAATCCTTCAAAATTGCCCTTGGGAGGCTCTCTGCTTCTCCTCAGCCCTAGGACCCCCTACTCCAGCATCACATTACTGTGAGAATACACTCAACATCTAAATTCAAACACAGATTTACCAGTCTGTCTGTCAACAGTTTGCCTCATTATTCATAGACAGATTGGTCACAAGTTTAGCACTCATGCCTCAGTAGGAATGCACCCATTCCCCAGGAAGGTTTTCCCGATGACTAAGCCCCTAACTCGATGTGTAGGATGTAAAAAGGCAACCCCAATAAGATTTTTGAGGAAACACACATTGAATAAGAATTGTACAATCAAGGAAGCAATGAAGGAGTGATAAGTACTATGGAGCAAAATCTAAGAGTGACAATTTCAGCATAGAATATTCCTGAAGACCGATAGCAACTAAGACTTCTCACCTTCCTCATCAAGTAACGATTCTTCTTCTAAACAAGCTGTCACGTAATCGGATATCACCAATCGGCGTCGTTTATGTCTAAGACTTGCCTCAGTTGTGTATGATAAGATTGTATATGAGCACTTACCTCGAGGTACGCTGTATGAGCGTCAATCGTCGTGAGTCGTCTCGCTTGTCCAAGACAACATGCGTGAGTTTTGGATCGTCGAGTGCTACTATCTTTCCGCCATTCTCCTGGATGCTTCTTGAAACCTGGTCGAAGCTTAGAGTATCGAGGTTTGATATCAGGGAAACGATACTTGGTACCTGAAGAGAAAGCTCACATAGTGGAGATCTCCTGTTCATACTTGGTTTTCACCGGCATGCCGTTTCTCCGCGCATTGCCTGGCGTGTCAAGGTAAAAGCAACTACCACCGACAGTGAGAGCCGATAACCTGGAAGACACGAGACCTACAGATGCCTGAATATTGCTGTTGCATCGTATTCCCTCGCTTGGTCGTCTTCCCCCATTGCCATGTCCTGATGTCATTGTAACAGGACGACGCATCAATGAAGAAACCCTTACCTGTGACTGTGAATGAAATGTGGTGTTCGACTGTCGGGATAACTAGTGAATGATGGTTATGCCATACAATAAAATCACGCACGTTTTCATCAAGGGGCTTAACAGCGGGACTGTGGGGCACTTGGAACCACTCATCATCATCTTCCCCTTTGACATCATCGTTGTTTGAATCCGCATCAGATTCATCCTCCGTTTCACTATCTTCTGAAACGCCAGGCTTGGTGTCGACTTGAAACCAGTCCGCAAGTTCAGGATCAGTGTCCTCAGTTTCTTCAAGTTTCGGCTTAAAGCCCTCTGGGGTGATTGATATGTTCAGGCTGGCGTCTTCCTCTACAGTTCCATCAGTCATTTCTTGGTCCTCGTCAGTGTCCAGCTGATGATAATCGTCGGATTCTTGACGTGCTAAAGTGGCGTGGAAGAAGTACCTAAAACAGGTGTGATCCTTTGCAGAAACGAGTACTGCAACACCTACTTCTTTCTAAGAGGAACTAGCTCTCCCCGGTGTATACAATCCGTGACCCACTGAGGCCTGATGATGTCAACACTGTCCTTGTCAATCAACAGCTTGATGTCGTAAGCTGCGAGATTGTGATCAGTCCCTCGGAGTAGTTGAAATATCAATGCACAGATACTCACGCGTAGCCGTCCCTCCATAAATGACTGTAACAGGCTGTTTGGATGTAACGACTTGCACGCAGCTACCCCCATTGGCATGGATCCTGTGGGGAACTCAGATCTAGATGATTTTTTCAGATATGACCCTGTCTTACAATTTCATCAGTTCCTGACGGTCTTGATTGCCTGTTCTTGATTTTGGGTCTGACGACACCACTTACAATCAAAGTCACCGTTGATCGAACACCAGGCAGTAAGGAGGACTCACTGAATTTCATATCCTCAAATAGATCTGACTCAATCTCGACTGCACGTAGATTAGGTCCTTGGTATTGTGGTAGGACAGTAGCCTGAAAGATGCTCAGACAACGATAGCACGAAAATCCCTAAACATATATACCTTCTTTGCCGTTGTCTTTCGCTTCTTCTTGGACATGCTACTAAAGATTATCATGGGTATCGATGAGAAAATCAACGATCAGTTACCCGGCATCACTTTCCATCTTTCTTTTACGCTCGGAGCGCATACTCTCCAGAACAGCTAAAACAGGTTAAGCTTTGTACTGATGGAATACAAAGGCATGCACCTGATGCGGTCATGCAGTCTGCAATGTACAGGTCGTCGCGAATTGACAAAGCTCGAGGAAACCTCATAGTAACGCCCAAATGATATTGGTCTATTTCACATGGCACATCAGCGAGACAGCGCGTTCAAAATGATTGCCTGATACCTGAAGTCGTGATCTCAGCTGCCTTAACCTTCAGTATGAACGAACTGACAATTATATCGTCAGCCTGTGCCAGCAGATAAAGTGTGGGTCATACTCCTCTGGTTCCAGATACAAATCGCCTTTGTCTTCGTATGCCTTTTTTGCAGTTTGTAGAAATTCTGGGGGATGTTTTGGATCCCATACTTTCCAAGGCTTTTGTCTGAGCCAGATGTAGTCTGCAAATGACAAACCTGTGCCCACTCGGACAAAGGTGCTGTACCTAGTATCCAGGAATGTTTATACACAAGACGCTGAATCTATTGCAAGACTTACTTCGGTTCTTCGTCACCCTCCGGGCGCCGATCGTCGAGGACTGCGCAGATGAGTGTCGAGACACCTCCTGAACGTTTTCTAGTGCCGTAATTGCCAGCTACGTTGCGGTTGTATGCTGAGTAAAGACAGCAAATTTACTGACTCACCGACTACTAACACGTCCACGGTCTCGCCCATATTGTCCTGAAAGTACTGTGAGCGTAAATGTAAGGGGGCGCCTCGACCTATTTACCATATATTCTGGCTTAACCTTGATCCAATCCTTGTTTCTGCCGTTTAAGATGTACTCGGAGTCGGGGTGTTTGATCACAAGGCCTTCCCCTCTTGACGCCATCACTTCGTCCATCTTCTGCCGAACATCTTTGGCGGTCTTGCCTTCGAACTCCGCGGTGAATTCAATGCGGCCCGGAACCTCTTTGATGCATGCGCGCAAGTTGCGTTTGCGGAACTTGAGTGACTTCTGGTGGAGGGACATGCCATTGAGATAGAGGAGGTCAAAAACCTTAACTACATTGAAGTAAGGGTTGCTGCAAAATCTAGAATAGTGCGCACATACAGCATGGTCTAGGATTGTGCTCCTTCTTTGATTTATCTGAGGGATATCATAAGCATTTAGACAGATGACTGACTGGAGACACTGACCAAGTGCAGCTGTCTTCAAGGTACCAAATGGCAAGTTACGTTCAGAAACAGGGTCCCAGACTAGCATTTCTCCATCGAGAATGATACTGCAACATGACTTCAATTACAAACGAATGAAACGCCGAGATAAACTCAACTCGTCGATCCGCTCATCGAACGCAGAGTCGATAAAAGGAGTTAAACTGCCCTGCCCGACATGCTGTCCGTACAAGTAAGTATAATCTTTTCCTTTCCTAAATCAAGGGTCAACTCAGGTCATTGGTACACGTGACAAATCCTACCTCGAACAGTAGAAGTATTCATTTCCGCGCTTGTGCAGCTGCATGCGCTCGCCATCAAGTTTCTCTTCGATAATAAATTTATGTCCTTGCATTTCCTTCACCGAGTCCTCAATCTTATGGGCCGGTCTTTTGCACAGCATCGGCGCAAATGCACGGAACAATTGGATGGATTTATCCTATGTCACATCAGCTCTGAAATCTTCAATGAATAGGGAAATTTATACCTCGGCATTCAACCTCCTTGAAGGATCCCATAGCTCCCACGCAACCTTCTTGAGGTCCGAACAGATGTTGAACAGATCTTGCGCATCCGGATGGAACACGCCAAAGACGGTGGTTTCCTTCACAGAAATAACCATGTCTTGAAAAGTTGACACATGATTGAAGCCATGATGGAAGAAAACATGCCTTTCAAAATTATACGTACAATCCACCGCTGTTCCTCAGCAGTAGCACGATTGTAAATACGCTGCAGGATTCTGGACTGAATGTCACTGTGTACTATTGTTAGCCAAAGAGCCTATCGAAAATCATCATGCGTACTGCTTGCCGATGTTCTTGGACAAGTCATCCAGAATTTCATTCAAATCGTAGATTGTCAGGCTTCCCTCGACGACGGAGGATCGCTTGCCCACGACCTCGTACAAAACTGTGGGGAAGTCACCAGAGCTTTTCTAGGAAAAGCTCAACAAACGCGCTCGACAAACGTAATACAAGATACAAACATCTTTTTCGGTAGGCTTCTTCCAGTGGTGCAAGCGGATCGCATCTGGATCTCTTATGCCGAGTGGGATCAGTTTGATGTAGGTCTTGGCGAGATTCTTCTCCTTCAGGCCATACACAGCACGCTCACGATCTTTCTGCTCACACGTTCAGCTTACCTGAATAATTTCTAAAGTGACAGAAAACGTGCCTGCGGGAGGATCAGGCGGAGAACGGGATAAAGATCATGCCCGATTTCTTCTCTCCAATGCTGGCGCCACAGACGTGTCAAGACTGGTTTTGTTCGTAGACAAAAACATACGTTGAACCAGACATCCAAAAGTCGCCGTCTCCGTTCGTGCTTTCTTTCTGTTGATAACTTCTCAAATAACCCAGCTAGTACTGAAAAGGGAGCACTGCCATTGTTTTGCGGAGGAAGTGGATAGGCTATAGTTTCTTCATCGTGAATCGGTCCTGGTGAGCCTGAAGGCGATGTCGGTGCAGGCGTAGGCTGCATCATTATCTGATGAAATCAAGAAAACAGATATGTTGTTCTTGGTTGTAATAGTACTTTGCAAGTCCTTGTAGTGTCAGGGGATGGTGGAGGTTGGCAGTAAGAAAGTCAAAACGCGTGACTCGAACTAATGAGCGTGTTATTTGTTTCTATTTGGCTACTCTTTGCTCGAAAATCTGTCAGCCCAATCTTCCTTACTAACTACTATGGACAACGACGACTATCCAAGGCTTCCGCGGCGGAATCGTAGCGGGGATGACCCAAAGATGATTGGACTATGGAAGGTCGGAAGGACTATTGGCAAGGGAAGCTCAGGTATCTATCTGGGTTGCTGGCAAACCATGCGATTTCACTGATCCCAACTAGGCCGCGTAAGGATCGCACGACATTCAAAAACAGGTCAATATGCCGCAGTAAAGATTGTGTCTAAAAACATCCTCGTGAACTCTATCACCAAACTTGTCGACTCCGCGGAGCATATGCTTCTCAGCATTGAACGTGAGATCGTGATCATGAAGCTCATCGACCATCCAAACATAATGCGCCTCTATGACGTGTGGGAGACCTCCAGCGAGCTCTATCTTATTCTTGAGTACGTAGAAGGTGGCGAGCTCTTCGATTATCTGTGCAACAAGGGGCGGCTATCCACCTTCGAAGCATTGGGCTACTTCCAGCAAATCATCTCCGCAATCGACTATTGCCATCGACTCAACATTGCGCATAGAGATCTCAAGCCTGAGAACCTTCTCATGGACCAAAACAAGAACATCAAGGTCGCAGACTTTGGTATGGCTGCTTGGCAGGCCAGGTCCAAAAATGGATTACTTCAGACGGCATGTGGAAGCCCTCATTATGCGGCCCCGGAAGTCATCATGGGGAAGGAGTACAATGGACGCGCTTCTGATATCTGGTCCTGTGGCGTGATTCTATTTGCCTTGCTTGTGGGACGCCTTCCGTTCGATGATGAGGACCTACCAACACTGCTAGATAAAGTCAAGTCGGGAAAGTTTGATATGCCAGCCGGGATCGATCTCTTGGCCAAGGATCTTATCACAAAGATGCTGCAGAAGGACGTTGTGAAGCGCATCACGATCCCTGAAATTCTCGCTCACCCATTCTACCTTTCCCAAAAGCCAAAGTCTGTGGACGCGAGCACGCCGAGGCTCAATGATATAGCAAGACCTCTCTCTGACCTTGAAGACATTGACCAAGATATTCTCGCGAACCTCCGCACGCTTTGGCACGATACATCCGAGGAAGACATCAAAGCTAGCCTCAAGAGCTTCGAGCCAAACTGGCAAAAGGGCGTTTACCGACTGCTCACCAATTATCGGGACAAGCACTTGGAAAATTATGACGAGGAAGAAGAGATGGTGCAAAGAAAGTCACGTAGGAAGAAATCAATTGAGAATGACCCTCAGGGCATGACTGGGACCACATCCCAAACACCCCACCTGGCACGCGCGCCTTCATTTCTTCCTCCTCGCGCAGCTCCTCCGACCCCGCGTAGGGCAGCTGGTCGCACGCTTCCCCTGCACAGCGATGATAGTGATAGAGACTGCATACAACTAGGCGCTCCTCGTATAACTCTGTGTTCACCGACACCGCCACGTCCAGGGGCTGATCTCCGCTCTCCTTTGTCGTCGTATATCACATCTCTAACATCGCCCTTATCGCCCACGGCTGGTTCTACAAATTTGCCCGCGATTGAAGTCCCGGAACTCGAGGATGATAAGATGCAGCATTTTTTCCAGCAAATTGTGGAACATCTTAATGCAATGGAGGCGCGGACTGCAGGCACACCCCATCTTGATCTTGGAAACACCTCAGCTCTACCCGCACCTGTCAATATCGAATTCGACAAGCATCGGAAAGGCAACGTTGTGCAGACCAGAGGCTATTCGTCACCCCAGGAGATCATATCCGACGCGGATATAAGGCGCGAACGACGAAGCCAGTTCGGAGAGGTCGATAAGGAGAATATATCTCTCAGTGTCAGTGGACCCGGAATCGTCAAGAAGTCATCTCTGCGGAGCAACGATGCTGACAGACGGCCTGCGCTCCGTGTGCAAATCATTGAGCCACCGCTCAACAAGCTACGCAAGAAAGGCGGCGGTGACACCCCGGCCGCCGTCTCACCTGCGTTTTCTGACAGCTCATTCACTCTTCCCGCGACGCCGCGGCGGCGTTGGCTTGATAGTGTTTTCAAGTTCAAGCCAGTAACGTACCAGCTTCTGTCCACGCATGACGGGTTCACATCACGCGAGGAGTGCCGTCGAATGCTGGTGAACATGGGCGTCCGCGTAGTCCTCACGCATGCGGAACATTCAGGTGTGCTCAAGTGCAGAACAGATGATACGAAGGATCTATCTGGATTTCTTCCGGCGCTGAAGTCAGTGCGGTTCCGCGTGGAGATGCAGAAGCCAACGCCTCTGCAAATCACTGCTGGATATCAGGTTGTACTACACTTGATACAGGAAAGGGGCGCGTTATCAAGCTTCCAGGTAATTTATCAAAGGCTGAGAAGGAACTGGGAGTTGGACATTCCACGAATGCTGATGACACCGAATAGTCCACTTTTCAGCCCCACAGAAACCGAGATGGGAGGGTACGAATTTAGCGAGAGGTTGGTATACGTTGATTAGCTCGCTGGTACGATCTATGAGACATGTAAAATTATTTTACAGTAGATACCGCCAATATTAGTATTCAAATTTTGTATCTCAGCTATGAAAGTGGACCATCCATCATCATCATCATCATCATCATCATCATCATCATCATCATCATCATCATCGTACTTGCGAACCATGATGGCAGTTCAATGAGGAGCGTGTCATCACGATCAGTGACCATGGCTTCATCGATGGCTTGCGGAGGAACTGATTCTTTGAGGGAATGCTTGTTTTGATATGATTGCAGATCTGACATAGGATCCACACTGATGATTCGGATGAAACGTAGGAGCTGGATGTAAGCAACTTCCGTCTGATCCCATTTGCGGAATAGCTTGACGGTAGCTTCATGTGTAAGATCAGGCACACCTGCGCAATATGATCAACAAAGGCAAGGCAGTATGAATAAATCAATCTTACACATTCCTGTGCGGTATTGTTCTGATATACGGAGCTTGATCTCGTCCAGCTTCAACTCCTTGGTACTTTTTTGTCGGGCATGACGTGTTAACCACACATTACTAGTGATGGAATGTAGCTCTTCGAGGGAGAGCGTGCCTTCTGGATGTATTACATGGTAGACAAATTCGTATACATCGGCTGAGGTTCACCGTATGAGACATCAACGCAACATGGGATACGCACCCTGGGCAGACCCGGCAGAGTCTGTGTCAGTGTCACTGCGGGCAAAGTCGAAAAGGTAAGGCCGTTCAGATGAAGATCAAACGGGGTGGGAATGTAATACAACATATGGATAGGTGGCGCAGTAGATGCGGCGCAGAAATTTTAAAAGGGAGAGGAATCCTCGACGACGACAAAGTGTAAAATATCAAGGTTAACACTATCCCACTAGTTTGAGACCATTTATTTTAGATTCTAAATCATATAGGAAGGCTTGCCATTCTTCGTCTGAACTCAAAGACGTGACGCCACGGGTCGGGATCCCAATTGATGCGCAAAATGTTAAATCACTGCAAGATCATTGAAACCCAATCCGGACGGCCGTGATTTTATGTGGCAAACACATTGTAGCTCCTCTATACACGCAATCTCAATTTTAAACCATGTCCGCATGTATGGCCAGCTCATGGCCAGCTCGATTTTTAACACTTTGTTCGTCAGGCAACGGGGTTAGGGATATACATGGGATGTAAAACTTTCGTTCCAAGGTCGCCACTGCAGCCGCAGAATACTGATGTCACATTTCCTCAGACTTTGTGTTTTATAGTTCGGGCTTCTCTTTTTCTCGTTTGCCCGCTCATGTGATTCGAATGAATATTCGCTGCTCTGGCGCTGCAGCGCAGCTCAGCGTCAGCGTCAGCGCTCATATCAACTCGCCATCAGCACTATCAGCTCGCCACAATAGCGCCGTTCACAGTAAAATCGCCTCTGATACAGGAAACTTACAAAGCGCCTCGATGACATTATCCAGGAGTCTTCAGCACTCAAGTCACATCTCGTTCAGCAACTCAAAAATCTCAGCAACGCAGTTCCCGAGCTAGTCAACTTTGATATCTCTGTTAGTGTTTTCGCTCCCCTTTCTGAGGAAGACTACTTATTTGTATAACTGTAGCTCGCCCAACAAGTAATTCCACACCTTAGCGACGCCCGTAGTGCCAAGGCTCCGTTTCAGCTTGCAACAGTGTTGTCGTACGCCAGGCAGACTGCAACGTCCACTGTCGCCAAGGACATGAAACCTGGGACCTCCTGCTTCGAGGCGGTTGGTGAAGCTATTGCCCAGTTATCAGCGGAGTGCAACAAGTTACTCCCTTTGGCAATGGAACCTGAGAACGTGTTCAAGAGTAGGCTTCTTTTAGCTTTGATATTCGTCAAATATCATGCTAACGATGGCCAAGTCTCTGGCACACCACCGTGGGTCCTACGAATTGAGGAGATCAGAGCCAGAATGACTACCAATGTCGAAGCCGAGCAGAAAGCCGCACAGCTGCAGGAGGAAATACAAGGACTTTCACGGAGTCTCAAGACGAAAGACCAAGTGATACAGAAGTCAGAGGTGAAGATCGAGCACATGGAACGGCGCATGGAAGCAGTCAAGGAGCAAGTGGATACCATTGGAGATCTTGACATCGAGCTCTCGAAAGCGCGCAAGCAGGAACATGCATACAAAGAGGCAATGGAACAACTTTAGGCAGACCTGGATATGTTCGAGCAAGATAATGCGAAACTGAAGGCGTTGGTTGCGGGTTCGGAGCGACAAGGTATGTTTCTTTATATTGGGGTCAATTGCACGGTCTGATAACTTGCCGTGTCCAGCTGCTAGCACACAACCTGTCGATTCAGAGAATGTCCCCATGGAGGGTAATGTGGAGACACCGCACCTTCTGGAGCAGGTCCGTGCAGGTCTAGACCCATCTCATCATCGTTGTTCTGACTCTCACATAGATCAAGGCTCTTCGTGGCACCGTCCGCTTCTTGCGCACAGAAAACTCGTATCTCAAGGGACAGGACCTACTCAAGGAAATACAAGCACTACCACATCTCCCAGAACATATCAGTCGCGTACGTACACCTCCGCTGGACCCCTCAGGACAATCCGACACAGATGAATCCGATACAGAGCTTCCGCCCGCTCCTCCTACCATTCGCTCGCTCGCCACAGAAACTAAGGTTCTCTACCGGGACATCATCAAATTCTCTTCATCGCCTCGTGTTGTTGATCTATCCGCTCTTCATGCAAAGAGAGCAGAAAGTGATTGTAAAGGTGGGAAGATGTGGATGCGGAGGAAGGATAGCCCTGCTCAGCAAGTCCTTGATCGGAAAATAGAGGCCGAGAGACTTAGCAGACGCATCAGAAGCCTATTGGATCGTGCAAATGCGCTATGAGGGGTTTCATTAATATCTCCAGTGATTGTATTAACTAAATACATAGTTCACACTCGCTCGTTCTATCTCTAGTAATGATCATTTCCCCCGACTAGGGATACAGGTTGAGCCACTCCTCTATGTGCCGCAGTTAGAGTACAGAGAAATCCAACAAACGACTACAAATCATTCAGATTCATTCTAGATCCCATGAAGCTAACTCCCTCTGCTTCGTTTTTATGTACAATCCCAGAGTATCCCT